CAGGATTAGGATCTGTCACAGGATCAGGATCTACCACAGGATCAGTATCTACCACAGGATCAGTATCTACCACAACATCAGTATCTACCACAGGATTAGGATCTGTCACAGGATCAGGATCAGTATCTACCACAACATCAGGATCTACCACAGGATCAGTATCTACCACAGGATTAGTATCTACCACAGGATTAGGATCTGTCACAGGATCAGTATCTACCACAGAATCAGTATCTACCACAGGATTAGTATCTACCACAGGATTAGGATCTACCACTGGATTATTATCTACCACAGGATTAGGATGTACAGCAGGATCAGTATCTACCACAGGATTAGGATCAACCACAGGATCAGTATCTACCACAACATCAGCACTTACCACTTCATCAGCATCTACTGCATTGTCAGTGGTGTCATCATTAGATTCTGCTAAAATAACAACAAAATCTCCCATCAGCAACTCAGGCTTTGACAGTGACCAGCCATCCTTGCACATGTTTCGTAGAAAGCAAAGGAAGTTTCTCTATCCAAACCTACCACAGACCACTTTGGAAACTTTCATTATTGCTGAAGAGACTGCTGGCAGAGTCGCATGTGGAGCTTCCCTCTCTGCACAAACACTAGCGGGAGACACTGTGAGGAGAGGTACCAGGGTGAACCCTGGCATGGGGATGTTAGAAGGTTCAACACGTCCTGCAAGCAGGTTCAGTGGACAGGGGGTCAAGTCAGGTGGAGCTGCAGGAGAGGCACCAGGGCAGTCTGTTGGAGATGTGGGTTCAGACATTGGACCACCAAGGAAAACAGGACAGCTGCTGGGTAAGTCAGTCATTAGGGAGTTAATTCCCCCATATGTGTTTCAGGGCCCCATTTTAGAGGAAAATAAAATGACCCACTGCTTCCTTAACAAGCCTGCTTAAGATGTGACTTATAGATTTGTCCTCGGAGTTGTCGTGCATCTGCCTGAGAGGCAAGGAGCTAACAGTCCGTATACAATGTAAGCCAGATCTATAAAACAGATATGCATGCAAAATTCAAGTTCTGGAACCAAATTAAGGTCCACCAGTGGATGAAAAACCAGAACTTAAAACCAGATTTTTCAGCCAGTGAACACTGTAAAGAAGAAGAAGAAGAATGAATCAAAAACTTTCCCAGAGCATTCCCAGACATACTCTGTCCCCTTTCCCAGAGCCAACAGAGAATTCCTGTACTGATGATGCTAGTTACGACCTGATAAAAAAGACTGCCTGCCCTTTCCTCTGTTTGCTCAGAACCGTGAAACTTACTCAAAGCAGAATCAGTCTTTAATTTTATGGACACTGTTCTAATGCACTGTCCACTTTTTCCCCAAAAGCCCTCACCAGGTCCACTTTATCATAAAGTAGCTTATCACCCAAAGGAGTGGCAGCAGCCAGTCAGTTAGCTTGCTTATTATCCCACACACCTGAATTTCCTGCACAGAAAATCCATAATTTGCTCCTAATATTATGTGTCTTATTAAGAGATGCGACCCAATCTGTAGATAAGATACCAGCTTCTGTTAGTAATTATAGACTTGGGAATAGTAGAGGGAGATGATAATTAGATAGAGAATGTTAGAGAGAGAGATATGTTAATTAGATAGAGAATGTTAGAGGAAGGTGATAATTTAGACTGAGAATATTAGAGGGAGATGTTAATTAGATGAAGAATGTTAGAGGAAGGTGATAATTAGATAGAGAATGTTAGAGGGAGATGTTAATTAGAGAATGTTAGAGGAAGGTGATAATTAGATAGAGAATGTTAGAGGGAGATGTTAATTAGAGAATGTTAGAGGAAGGTGATAATTAGATAGAGAATGTTAGAGGAAGGTGATAATTAGATAGAGAATGTTAGAGGGAGGTGATAATTAGAGAAAGTCAGGGGGAGATGATTAGATAGAAAATGTGTGAGGGAGATGATAATTAGAGAATGTCAGAGGGAGATGATAATTGGATAGAGAATGTCAGAGGGAGATGATAGAGACTGCAATTACATATAATATTAAGAATGGTAAGTTAGTTAGTTATTCCTCTTGTGCCAAAGATGGCGCATAGGGCAGAGGTCATAGCTTTCCACGTCTGTCGGTTCTTTGCCACTTGATGTAGGTCTTGAGTGCGACTGAGACCCATGGTTGAGCTCTCCCTTGTGATGGTTCTACGGAGAGTTTCTTTTGGTCTTCCCTGTTTTCTTTTACCCTCTGGTGACCATATGAAGGCTTGGTGGGGAAGTCTCTGTATGTCCATTCTGAGTACGTGACCGATGTAATTTCAGCGACGCTTTCTAATAAAATCAGACACATATTTTTGTTTTGTTTCCTGTCTTATAGATGTATTGGACCTAAAGTCCGACCAGTGAACATTCAATAGCTTTCGGAGGCATCTATTCTCGAAAGCGACTAGTTTCTTATCGATTGATACTGATGATTTCCAACTCTCACAACCATAAGTTAGCACTGGGATCACACAGGAATTGAAGACCTTAAGTTTCGTGTTGTTGCTGAGTGATTTTGACTTCCAAATGTTTGACAGTTTGTTAAAGGCACTTGGTGCTAACGCGATTCGAGTCGTTATTTCTGATGTTGTATCTCCCGCAGAGGTTATCTTGCTCCCTAAGTATGTGAAGCTGGTGATTTTTTCAAGAACAATATCCTTTAGTTTGATGTCTTTCGACCCGTTGGTAAGATCGATGATTTTCGTTTTGGCTGCGTTGACCTGAAGGCCGATTTGGCTTGAAATATTCTGGAGGCGGTCCATTTTTTCCTGAGCTTCTAGATGTGTTGTGCTCAGGAGTGCTAGGTCGTCAGCAAAGTCAAGATCTTCGAGAACTTTGTCGACCCATTTGATGCCTAGATGTGTGTCCTGTGTGCATTTGCGCATGACCCAATCGAGTGCTATTCCGAAAAGCATTGGTGACAAGACACATCCTTGTTTCACGCCTGTTTCTCCTGGGAACCAATCAGAGTTACCAGATTCCGTTCTAACAAGGCAGCGGTAAGAGGGTAAGGTAATTGTCAGCCATCTTTCAATAGAACATGGAAAAGAAGTGACCCTGAGCTAGCACTTAACTGTTATTTGGCTTCTGAATATATCAGGTTAGTGCATAGCATATTTTGTTTTTTAAAAAAAATGAGAGTTTCTTAAACTTGCCCACATCTGTTTTTATTTCCAGTGAAAATTTTAATTATTTTCTGTAATCTAATTTGTCACATTTTAAAAATATTTTCTTCGCAGGTTTTGCAAAGTTCTCAGAAGTCTTTCAGGTGTCAAATGACAAAACATCTTCCGACAATTCTTTTACTAGCGACACATTTCAGACTCCAGTTGGACCAACTGTAACAGTTGCTGACAATGATAACCAATCAAAAGCTGGGGAAGATCTATGTGAGCCATCTTCTGAAATGCCTTGTGATGTTAACACAGGGAGGCATGTGACCAGACGGTCGATCGGGGACATCCCATCTCAGCGGGCAGATAACCAGGAGGTTCTCTGCCCTGGCAGTGTCATTTCTCCAGCTGACGGCCGACACCACCAACAGGTCATTGTGCAATCATCTGCCACATGTATGCTCACATCAGAGCTACATTCAGCTTCTGAGACAAGTTCATTAGACCAGAACTCATCTGGCGGTGCTGTCTTTGATCAGTCAGCAGCATCTGGTGCCAGAAGCAACAGCTGTAAGAAAGATGATGAAGATGTTGACATCACTTCACATATGTGGAGCCAAACTGAGTTCTCTCAGATGCAGACTTGGGGGTCAGACAATGAAACAGATGGCTGGGATTCAGAAGACAGTGTTCTAGAGCACATTCAGTGCTTCGAAGATCAGCTGCTTGTGGACTGTTCTTCGCGGACAGAAATCATCCACAGAGAAAACAAATCTTTGTGTGTTGCCTCTTCAGTCCCTCAGGCTGAAAATGATCAAACTGAGCAGTTTTCCCATGGTAAAATCAGTTCTGGACATCCTTCTGGACCACAAGATGCCCTGAACCACTCAGATTTATCTGGAATACTTTCAGGGGAAGATAATCTAGAAGATCATCTTGACAATGTATTCCGAGGATTGAAACATCAGTCGAAATCCCCTAAACCATTTGTGGTACCGTTTCTGCACAAGCAGAGCTCTGACAAGTCCTTGGGGAATCTTCCCGGGAACTGGCTGGGGAAAGTTATCATAGAGGGAGCAAGTTTGATGAATATCTTACACAGGTGGGGTCTGATGTTTGCATGGGAAATGATGCTTGCATAGATTTAAGGGATGACAGCAAGAGTTCAGCTGTACAGATCAATAATGTTCCAGTAGTTCATCCTGATCATGTGGATACTCAGAAAGAAAATTTTCTTGCGGGTTCTGCATTTGATGTTAATAGTTTAAGCTCCGAAACTACTGAGATAAACCTTAAGTCAGCTATGAGTTGTGGAATTCAAGGCTTCAGCACCGCAAGTGGCAAGACTATATGTATATCAGAGAATGCACAAAGTCAAGCCTTGAAGTTGATGCAGGAATCCATCACATCCAGTGGATTGGTTGACCTGAAGGATGTCATCAGTGGAGACACTAGAGAAGAGTGGGGAGATCCAGCTGGAGTGGGTATTTCCTCCTTATGTGTAACATCTGTTGAAGAATCTTCATCCAGGTATGAATTTGAAAGGATAACTGATGTTTACCAGAACAGAGAGATGCATAGCTAGTGGTCCACTTGTAATGATGGAAGAGACACAGATATCAGGATCTTCCAAAATAGATAATGTTAACTTCTCAGTGGCCTCTTCCATCTTTTGCATGACCTCAGCTAGTTTGCCATCGTCTTCTTCTGCAGCCTTACCTTTATTATCTGCTGACTTATCTCTGACCTCTAGCAGCAAACAAATGCCTGGGCAGACAGATCTGATCAGAAGAAATCTGTTACCAAAGCTGAGCATGGATCCCAAATTGCCTAGTATTTCCCCTGTTTTAGTAAGTGTTGCCTTACCAGGTGTAGATGAGGATAAGGCAACCAAAGTATGACCAAGATAGACAAGAGCTACAAAGGTTTCCGCCCTTTCAAACCTCCCAAACTGTTGCATGGCTCAAAGAAGATGCCTTCACAAGGAAATCTGAAGCTGAAAGATGGACTCAAGAGGGACTGAGCTGTATTGATGTAAAAAAGTCAAAGGACTGTTTCAAAACTATTCTAGATGTCACACGGAAACCAAAAGAAAGTGTTGCTGTGGATGATAAGTTTGTTGATGATTGGGAAGATGATTCAAGTTTTCAAGATTTAATCTTGGTGGACGGATCTACAACTCGTGGGGCTATTGATGACGACAGCCCTGGTAGTCATGCTGAGGTATATCGGGCCATGGTTGAAGTCAGCAACAGATCAGTTGGCTTTCTTAAGTCACCACACCTTGACTCTGCAGGTGATCCAAACACTGACCTCGGTGCTGCTGCGAAGGGACGTGGCACAGTGTTTCCTGAGCATAAACAACAATCACAAGATAGTCATACAGATATTTTGGTAAATACTTTAGAATTTGGCCAAAAATATCCTGATGAAAATAAGCCTCAGATCACAGACAGATGCAGTAACTTTAATAGAGCATCATATTCTACTACAGGTCATCAGATGGAGCTGTTGGAGTCTCCAAAGCAAACAGAAGACAAAAAATGTGTGGATTCTGTGGAAAGTTCCTGGCTGATGGTCAATACATCGCTAAAGGGTGTTGGTAATTGTGTGGAAAGTTGTAATTCTTGTTCAGGAATATCATCTGCTGTTCAGTCTGATGTATCAGCACCAGGGCTGTTGCAGGTGGCAGTAGCTGAAAATGCATCAAAGAAAGCTGGGAATTCCCTGAAGGAGTTTGGAGCAGCTGACGATGTTAAAGAAGCGGCCAGTAAGTTTTCTGCTGCAGCCAGTATCTGTGTGTTGTCAGTTTCTGAGACAGCTGGTTCTGTTGGTGATGTCAAAGATCCAATGGAGATGTCCACATTCTCTGTTGGCTTTACAACTGCCGGAGGTTCCAAGGTTTCTGTTTCTGACAAGGCTTTACGACACGCTAGAAGTTTTCTTGGTGAAGCCGGTGATGTTGAGGATGTCAAAGATGGGATGCCTGCATTTTCTGGTGGCTTTACAACAGCCAGAGGTTCCAAGGTTTCTGTTTCTGACAAAGCTTTACAACACGCTAGAAGTTTTCTTGGTGAAGCTGGTGATGTTGAGGATGTCAAAGATGTGATGCCTGCATTTTCTGGTGGCTTTACAACAGCGAGAGGTTCCAACGTTTCTGTTTCTGACAAAGCTTTACAACACGCTAGAAGTTTTCTTGGTGAAGCCGGTGATGTTGAGGATGTCAAAGATGTGATGCCTGCATTTTCTGGTGGCTTTACAACAGCCTGGGGGCACCAAGGTGTCTGTTTCTGACATGGCTTTAAAGAATGCCAAGAGTTTTCTATCAGATTCTGAGCAGACATTGGATAGTTCTGTCCAGAAACATGACAAGCAGTCAAGAACAGCTTCTTCTGGATTGTTACCGGATTCTGGGGAAATTTTGCAATGTCCTGAGACATTTACTGGTCAAACACCAGTGTCCTCCAGGACAAACCCCAGAACTCACATCTCAGGGAAACCATCACCAAATGTTCACAAGAAGTACAGCAAAATGATACCTCAGACTGCTCAAGGAAATGCAGATAACTCTCCTCAGACTGTACAATCTGGGTTTTCTACAGCCAGGGGGTCAAGAATACATGTTTCAGAAGAATCTGTGAGAGGGGCTAAAGATGTTCTTGAAAGGGCAGAAGACTCTGCAAACTCTTTCAAAGCAGGAGCCTCTAATCCTTTTGAAGTGCCCAGCAAATCTCTGCAAAAGTCGGATTGTTTTATGAAACCTGTTGTATCTTCAGGGATATCCCATGCTACCAGTTTGTCATGTAAGGAACTGGTGAAGAAGAGACTCATGCCTGCTGCTGCTGGTCCAAGTGTTTCTGAGCAAACCACGAGAGAGGCACCTTGTCTGTCAGAAGATGAGAATGGTAGAAGCACTGAATCCAGCAGCAACAGTAGGAACAGAGTGGATGTTTCAACTAAGAACATGTGCCAGGAAACTCCAGCATGTGTTACAAGAAGCTGCCCGTCTATGGGAGTAAGATCTGACCATGAATTTGGTCATTTGAACCACCTTTCTTCTCATCAGACAAAGGAGAATATAGCTCCTGGAGTTGGGTCTGCTCCACGCATGTCCACAGAACCAAAGGCTACATCAGGTAAGCGAGGTATTTGTAGTCTATCTTTGCAGCAGTTTTCTTCTTTGTCATTCATTTTCTATTCCTTGTCAGCCTTAAAACGGAGAGGGGAGTTACCTCCAAGAATCAACTAAAGAATTAGTTAAAGGGTCTTATGGGTGCTTTGCTCTTCTCTTGAGTTTCTTTTGTCTCCACTGAATTAAATTTCCAAATCTTAAACCATCAAAGTGATATGGAGGTCATGTTGATTTAGAACGTTTGTATGAGGCTGAGCTAAGTCAGACAGACATGCAGATTTTTTTGGAGATACCTCTGTTGTTACTGTATTCTTGTTTGTTACTAACTTTGTCTATGTCATGTGCTGATGAAGGCTTTCTGGCTGCAGCGTTCACTTGTCGTGCGATTGTGATATTGTAAAGCTGAATAGTTTTACTTTTTGCTTGGTTTGATATCTTTTTCTGATATCTTTTCATGATTTCTTTTCGTGATACTTTTCATATCTTTTCATGGTATATTTTCATATCTTTTTATGATTTTTTTTTCGTGATGTCTTTTTGTGATGTTTTTAATGATGTCTTTTTATGATCTTTTCGCGATGTGATGTCTTTTCATGATAGCTTTTGACGATGCACAGACATTTTCAAACAACTTAAGATGTTTCTGTCTATACTGAAAGTGCTTCGTGGTATCAATTCTGCCATAATGGTAATGTGGTTTATAGACATTCTTTTCATGTGATTTCGTGAATTAGTTAGTGAGTGAAGTTGAACCCGCTAGGACAGCACACTGAGTGACTTGTCAGAGAGTTTCATGCACGTCTACGCCTTTCGAGGATGATAGGAAACAATATTCAAGCCTCTGATAGGAACAATTTAGAAGTATGGTGTTCTGTCTATCTGAGCACACAGTGAGTGCCAATGTGCATTGATGTTGATTGTTTTTCTACTTCTTTCGTTCACTTGAAATAGATTATAGAGACCCGTAAAGTGGGGACATTGATTGTGATAACATTCAGATGAGAATCCTCCAGATACAAATCCCAGAAACCATGTTTAACCGTAAGGTTATTTTGGGGCCCGGGGCAGTTACAAAATATCCTGAAGTCTAGACTAGGTAGCTATGCAGCATAGAATACCTGTGCAATGAATTTTGAAACTGCTGCATGATAGTACCAACCACATGTGAAATGAGATGTTTAAGAAAGGCTACAATGAAGATCAGAAGAGATGTGAAAAATCTTAGTCTTAGTCGAGTTTTCAGTTTCGCTGCAATCAGGTTCTCCCATGCTTGTTTCGTCCATTTGCCAGTGAAAACCAAATGAATGATCCCTCACTGTTTTTTTTTGAAAAACTGGTGAACAAACAATTCGTCCTGGAAAAATCTAGAAATAAGCACATGCAGTAAATGCATATGGCAGTTGCTAGAGGCACCAAAGCCAACAGTTACCACCAGAAATGCAGTTTGTCGTCGATGGAAGTAGTCAGGCACAATGAGTTGGCTATAGACACATAGAATTATTGCATACGTATTTCATGAGCTCACACGTAAACTGGCTGCCAGCCATATTGAATACCATGACACAACCACTGCAAAAATGAAGGGCATTCCACATGAATACACAGCTCACAGTGCTGCACCAAACACTAAACTCAGTAGCTCCGGTAGCAAAACCGTACATGTGAGAAATGATGAGCTTAAAGATCTGATACTGATTGTTACATTCATTGAGAGACAAAGACTGAACTCTACAACAGGACAAATGTGTCTATGGTCGAGGTAGACCAAGAACTAGATGGAAAGATAACATCACAGAACTCTACAACAGGACAAATGTGTCTATGGTCGAGGCGGTCAGAAGAGCCAGAAGCAGAACCTTGTATCTCCATAGACACCCAAAGCGGTAAAAGAGAAAGTCGAGAAAAAAAAAAGATTGTCACGAGACATCAAACCACTGTCCAGAAGGAGCATATAACATTTGACTGATGTAATATTTTTTCATTAGTAGCATGAGAACATGAATTTCTGCATCCTTGTAGATAGCAGCTGGTCACAGAAGAAAGAGTTACAAACACCAGTGAGGACATCCTGTGAAGGTAAGCTATAATGTGAGGTGTCTGGTTATTTTCTCATTCTCAGATTTTCCATTTTCATTCATTCACTCATGGTTACTCTACCCCTCTGTGGGGTGAAGAGTTACATCACACTCTATTTGTATTTGTTCACTACTGTTTCTGAAGAGCAGCTGGCTAAATGGTTAAGAACGCTGGGCTGTTTAGCTTATACATGTTCTTTAACAGTGGAGGACATGCATCAAAATATGTCCATCAGAAGATACTGTAGAGCATATTATGTAATTAAAAAAATAGTTTTCATTAAAAGTTTACTCTTCTGATTTATGCAGACTTATTGAGGCGTACTCATGGGAACAAAATGTCATGGACCGTTTTGTGTGGAAAGGGCATATCAGGAAGGGAATGAGACTGAAGGAAGAAATTATTGCAGAAAGGATGAGAGCTGAGCGTCTGAAGAGAAACGGATTAAACACAAATGTTGTTAACAATGGTCCTGAAATCCCATGCTATCATTGTGGAAGACTTTTCTTGACACGGGCGGGTCTTGCTAGTCATACTCGCCATCGCCATGGGCTGTGAGTCTCATGCCTCTTCATAGCGCAATATAACACTATCATCTGGAAAGAGGGAAAGGTGCCAAAGATGAATGATGCAGACTTATGAGACAGCCTGTGGAAGCCTAGAGGGTTATGGCTAATTCATGAGCACCTGAAGAGTTATGTTCTAAATAGGGCGCTGAAACATAACCATGCTCCAGGTGTCAGGTCTTGTAAGTGATTAAGTTGACATCTGCATCTTCTGAATATGCCACATCATCATTCTATATCAGTGGCCTGCTCCTACATATGGAGGAAGGTCTTCCACGTATTTTCCAGTTATGAAGCTAACATGCCTGCATTGCTGATCACACGAGACCATCTGTGAAAGAAGATGGCAGTGCTTTTGCCTCGACTACAAGTAGTCTTACTATGGAGGTGATGACAGTATCAAAAAGCAGTGACCTGGCTACAAACATGTTTTTGTCCCATGTTTTCTTTCTGATTGATTCTGTGAACATGCTTAACTCTTTGAGTCCCAAGGAACGCATCATACATTTATAGCTTCCTACCTAGAAGCCCAATGAACGCATGATGCGCCAATTTTATTACTTTCTTTACTACCCCCTGGGCCTGTGATGCTAAACCCCCTGGGACTCAAAGAGTTAAGAAGATAGAGACAGGATGGGCTCAAAGACAGTGGTTGTAGTCTGAGGATACCTCGCCTGAGGGGGATCGGCTTTATTTTTATGCTGGGATACTCTGTAGTAAGAGGGAATGAGAGAGCAGATTAGTTTGTTTGCAGGGCCACAGTAGACACAGGAAAGGTAATGCTGATGCTCTGAGTGCTCTCAGGGAAGAGGATGAATCTGCAACCTTGACCTGACTACAAAACCTTCAGGTTATAAGAGGTGTTGCCAGACATAAACATTATACTTCTTCTTCATTTCTCTTCTACTATTTCCCTCAGCGAGGTGTTGGGGGGAGATTTAAGGAACATTTGTACATCTTTTCCAATGCATTGTACAAGTTGGTGTTCATTTCTGTTAAGTTGCTCCTGATGATGTCGCTCCATCTCTTGCGTGGTCTTCCCCTTACTCTGTGTTCATTATATTTCTTTAGCGTGGCTCTCTGTGGCAGTTGGTACAGGGCATTCTCGTCCGTCAGGTGGCCAAACCATCTAATTTGATCTTTAATGAATTGTATGACTGGTTTCAACCCTAGTCTTTTTCTAATTTCCTCATTCCTGGTTGTATCTCTTTTTGTCACACCCGCAGGTTTCTCCTAAGACATTAAACAGGTAGGCAAGAAAGAATAGTATACCGACACATAACTGATGATTTCAGTTGCCACACACTGAGGGAGATACTAAAGATGGTATCCGAGTGACAGTGGCATTGCCCAGTGTTTAGTGAAGATGATTGGCCGATTAACTAGCTATGATGCCATCTAAAGTTTGCTGAAGGCATCAGATTCCATTGTTTCTTTAGTACATTCTAAAGTGTGCGAGCCCGGACAGACTAGTTTAATCTGCCTAGTGATTGGTTTTTCTCAATTGGTTTTTACCTTGACTTAACACACATGTAGGTGATTTTGTACATATGCTTGGCATTTCTCTAGGTTTCCAGTTTGATCGTCGCAAAACCAGGGGAAAGTCATTGAGTGCTGTTCTCTCCATGCCCTTGAAGTCTGTATCAGGGTAAGGACATTTTTTGGGGAGGGTCTATATTTTGATAAATGTTGTTATATACACAACTCAGGGGGTTTCCGCTGCTAAATAGTCTAGCAGTTTGCCTCACGTCCTGAAGGTCGTGGGTTCATTTCACGGCTGTGCCCTTAAGTTCACAAGTATAGTTTTTACTGAGCTTCCTAGAAATCGTTGCCAGAGCTACAGATTTCGTACTCTGCACGGTGCTCTTGACAGGTGGCTAGCCATGGTGCAGAGAGAGACCGAGCCATTTGGGATAAAACCTGGTGCACTGAAGTCGATCCTTTCAACGTTAACCTTCTGTATTTACCACTGATGGCAAACTACTGGATGTAAATTTGCATAGAGAAACCACACAACAGCCAGGGGCTGTTGTGGTTGGTTCTGCAACGTCCTGTAAGAGATACGCAACTAACCATATACCACTGATCGCAAAGTGTTATAAGTAAATAAGTAAAAGACCCTTTAGGCCAGTGGCATATTCAACACATGATGATAGTCTCATATTTCTACAGACCACTCCACCATTGGTGGATGATGTGGTCGACATCACACCCGCTGCCTTTACTTCTCAGGACTTTTCTGCCTATGATATGTCATTCTGCCTTTCTTCATTTCCTTCTCTACTGTTATTCTCCAGATTTCTTTAGATCTTCTGTTTCCCATCCACCATTCATTGGAGAGCTGTCCTTGCCAAAATTTCATGAGGCATTCTGCAAACATGTCTAAGCCATCTGCATCCTGTTTCTTTGCTAAATGTTTGCTAGTGATAAACATTTTGTTTTCCTCCTCAGTGTTTCATTTATGGATATCATCATCATCATGTAGCAGTTGCTTTGCAGAACATCGCTCTCGTCCCGGTCTGCCTGAAAGAAACTCGGTCTCTCACCAGCTCTCCTGCCTCATGTACTTTCACACTTTTCCAATCCGCTTTGGCGTTTGATATGACCAAAATATTTCCGCTTCCGAGAAATGATGCTGTTTATTAGCCAATCTTCCTTGATGTTCGGATCTTTCAAGATGTCAGTATTTCTTCTCTTCTTTGTCTTCTGAGAATCTTTCTATAGCATTTCAGCACAAAAGCTTCTATTCTCTTTCTTAAGGACTGATTTATAGATGTACTTAGTAATTATACTTGATTGAAATTTCAAAATTTATGTTACTTGATGCCATAAATCTCTGTTATGTATAAATTATGGAAAAATTAAAGCAAATAAGATGTTCATACTAGGGACAACATTGCAGATATAGATATTATATTTCAAGTGAACGAAAAGAAGAAGAAAACAAATAAGATGATTACTGTGTAGAGGATATTATTATTTTTAAGTTTGTACTTGTGATGGTTTCATTTATGTGAGTTGGTTATTATATAAGTTAACATTAGTTTGTGAATGACCTAATTAACTTTGATGTCAAATTATTAATTTTAAGCCAGATTATTATTCTGTGAGTGAAGTGATTAATTAATGGGTCAGGGTTATTTTACGAGTTAACATTGTAGATAAAATAGTTAACTTTGAAGTAAAACAGTTAATTTTTCAATGAAATTATTAATTTATCAGTGGCCATGATAAATTTACACAAGAAATGATTAATTTGCACATGAATTAATAATTTCCATATAAAATTATTTACTTACTTCTGAAATTGTTAATTTGTACATGAAATGATTAATTTACACATGAAATAGTTAATTTATTTATAACATGATTCATTTATACATGAAATGATTAATTTTTATGTGAAATAATTAAATTATGGGGACAAATGACCAATTTGTCAGTGATAACTTCTATGACTTCTTCTTAAAATTCGTGCCATGTGGCGTAGGTAGTCATGTCTATCCACAACCTTCTGTCTTGTATACTTTCAGTCAGCTCTGACACAGATGATCCTCCATGCCATGATGTTAAACTGGCCAGCATCTTTTCTCTCGGTCACCCTCTGCCTCTCCGCTCCTCCAGCTTTCTACTGTCACGATGTACTCCAGTTTTCTCCTTTTCATCACATGACCAAAAAATGAAGATTGTCTCTTTCTGATGTGACCAATCAGTTCTCTTTGTGTTTCAGCTTCATTCAAGACGTCTTCATTACTCTTTTTATCTGTCCAGGGTGTTCTCATAATTCGTCTATAAAACCACATCTTTGAAGCTCCCTAATAAGTTTTCACTAATGTACCAACTGCCCATGATTCACTTCCGTATATTAAGATAGGATTTATATAGCTTTAAAGAATGCTTATATGAATATATTTATATATATATATTTCCACAGCATGACTGTATCTCCAGCTGTATTAGGAAACAAATTCCAGCCACCTTACAAGAAAGCCAAGGTGCACGATGATGATTCCAGCTACAACAGCATGGCCACCAGCAGTAGTGGCACCATCACCTGTAGCGACAGCTATAGTAGTACTGCTGCATCAGCAACCTCATTTACGTCATCATCATCAGCAGCAGCACCCAGCAAGTTTAGCATGGGGATGTGCCACAAGAGCAACTCAGCAGAACCCACAGCACTATTAGAAACTCCCAACGAACAACTCCTTGGTCCGAGTAACAACTCAGGAAGAAGACTCTGTTCCTTTAGAGAAGACTCAAACTGGAGTAAAGCATTTCAAGGTGCAGCAGCAGATCTTTCTAACCCGTCAGCTTCGACTTCATCTCTTAAGAAGGCCTCGGGAGTTGCCTTAGGCAGCCAGTGCTCTTCCACTAGTCATCAGCCTAAACTTATCAGTGATAGTGCTTCACATGGGCGCACTAGTCACCCCAGCTATCCTACTCTTGATTTAATGCTGGAAGAATCCAGGATGAAACAAGATGCAGTCATCAGAAAGAAACAAAAAGGAACCATTCGCCCGGTTTGTGGCCGGTGGTTGGAGTTTAAGAAGAGAAAGGAAGCTCTGAAGACATTGAAATCTTTAGGATTGGTCCCAGAGACTGGTTTGGCTAGAGAAGAGGTAGGGAAATGTCAGTTGAATACGGTTTGCTTAGTTACCACAGATTTTGTGTGATCCTTGCTGTTGTCATTAGATACTGCTTTTATGGGATTCCTGTAGTTTTCTTTAGTTGCTGTTAATTGTATGGGATTCCTGTAGTTTACTGTTAACTGTATGGGATTTCTGCAGTTTTCTTTAGTTACTTTTAACTGAATGGGATTCCTGCAGTTTTCTTTAGTTACTGTTAACTGTATGAGATTTCTGCAATTTACTGTTAACTGTATGGGATTCCTTCAGTTTTCTTTAGTTACTTTTAACCAAATGGGATTCCTGCAGTTTTCTTTAGTTACTGTTAACTGTTTGGGATTCCTGCAGTTTTCTTTAGTTACTGTTAACTGTTTGGGATTCCTGCAGTTTTCTTTAGTTACTGTTAACTTTATGGGGTTCCTGCAGTTTTCTTTAGTTACTGTTAACTGTTTGGGATTCCTGCAATTTTCTTTAGTTACTGCTGACTTAATTTGATTCCTGCAGTTATCTTTAGTAACTATTGACTTTTTTGGGTTCATGCAGTTTTCTTTAGTTACTGCTGACTTTATGGGATTCATGTGAGGCAAAGAACCAACAGGTTGCTTCTATAAACTGGACAAATCTGTGAAACAGATGTGCATACTCAAGTCCTAGAACAAGACTAAAGTTTAATCATAGACATACAACCAGGACTTTCTACTGGAATCTACAGCCACCGAACACAGAAGAAGAAGTTCCTTTGCATTCCAGCTTGGCTCGATTCTTGCATCCACTGTGTACAGTGGGGGTTGGCTCTCTCTTGTGCTTGATGTGTCCAGACTGTGATCAATATACTTTTCCAAACTGTATATGTGCTTCCATAAGACCGTATATTGTATATGTACTCCCATAAGACCGTTGTTTAAATTTTTTTTTTCATTTAAAATTATTGATTGTTTTTAACCGGTGGTTGCCTTCCAGCCGCACCAGTCCCCAGGCCAATCCTTAGCCACCAAAGTCTTAAACAAGAGTAGTTGGGTAATGCTAAGGGTTAGACTAAGGACAACCACATTAATGGGTTTTTAGGGAAATCTAAGGTTCTGGTTCTTACTATAGACACATCGTGCTGTTATAGAGTTTCTCTGATGTTGTCTTTCCGTTCATGTTCTTGGTCTGCCTCTAGGTTCGTGTCCCTTTCTTCTTTTGGTGTCTGCCTTGTATGGTATGGCATTGCAAGGCATTCTGTCTCAGTGAGCAAACTATTTTAGTTGCTGCCTTTGTACATCGCAGCACTCAGGGCATTACCTAGGGTACGTAGCAGGCCTTAAAACCGGGAATAACTTGGGAAATGCAAGATCCCTGGTAATTTACCATAATCACTCATTCCTTATCTTCAGCATCCAGTACAAAGTTCCAGTACCAATAGTGCCAGTAGCAGTCTGATTATATGTCCATTTTGCCTCTCCACTGAGCGTCGAGAATCGACCAGATCCCCTTGTCACTCCTCGTCGCATCACCCCCGCCAGACTATGATCAATATGCTTTTCCAAATTCTTATGTGTTCCCCTAAGACCTTTTAAAAAACAAAAAAAATTGGTGCTTTCCTTATATCCTACCCCAAACAGGGGAAATCCATAGGTCACAGGACAGTCTAACATTTCAGTGGTAGATAGTCTGCACGCAGTCGTGGGGACCTAGGCTGAAATCTCTCATGGGACGTAATTGGGTTGGGTTTAGGGCCAGTTCTAAATGTTTTGGTGTCGTTAAAAGCATCAGACAGCCGGGAAACCCAGTCTTACCACCCTCTAAAATGTTGGACTGGTCTATGACATCATCTGGGGCAGGATATTACGCCAGAATAAAACAAAAATTAATTTAGAATTGGTTCTATGCCATCTTTTCTGATTTGGTCTCTTCTAGTAACCCTACCATCTTTCTCGGACATTTTATTTCCAACACAATTGTAATAATTGACATGTCATTATATTTGTCTGATTGTCTTTACAAGCTTCTCAGTCAAGGAGTGTCAGACTCTTGCCTGCAGGTCAACAGTCTCAATGCGGGGAGCTTCAGGTTTGACCTGCGCCGGTTCTATCCTTGCCTGGATGCTTGTATCCTGGTGGGAGATGGTGCTCTTCTAATACCTGACAAACATGGGTTTTGTGGGGCGCAGGAGTTTTACAGGTGAGTGTTTTAGGTGAATCCATCCTCAGGGTACACGAGAGGATATGGATTGCACGATAGCTTTCATAAAGGCTACCGGCCTCCTGATATAAGTTTTCTGACAGAAGGATCGAAGAAGAAGAAGACTGTATAAACTGATGAACACCAGGACACGCCGAAGTTAAAGAAAATAAAAGAACCGATAGACTGGCTGTGTCTGCAGTGGCTGGGGGGGGGGGGGGGGGGGGGGTGGGGGGAAGCATAGACAGGACAGACATACTGAAGGTGCTGTGTTTCAGAGATGTTGAGACAAATGAGTCAGAAATGAAGAATCACCTGTTTGAAATTGGTATTAAACGAGGACGCGCATGCAGAAACCCTTGGCGGAGCAAACAAGGAAAATATGCTGGGTGTTTTGAACATGGAGACACTGATGGCTGCTGAATGGAAGGACCGAGCACAGATGGGTCAGACTGATGTGCTAGGATTTCGACACGGACAACTGAAAATATAAACTATTGAAGTTGTGAATTAGTGATAACCTTGTTTCATCCTGCCAACTCATTTCCTGGTATGGATCCCGGCTCACTGCTGCATACCAGGAAATGAGTTGGCAGACCGCCTTGCAAAAAATGGAACAAAGGAGAAACAACACACCCATTCATTGTCATTACCAGAAATCAGAACACTTAGCAAGGGAAATACAAGGAATTGTGGAGAGAACAAACTAGCAGTAAACATCCACAAGACCGCATCAGCAGACTCAACAGAAAGCAACATACAACAATTTTCCATCTATGAACAGGACACTGCAGGCTCAACTACCACTTGCATAAAATAAAGATTGTACAGTCCCCACAGTGTGCCTTTCAAACTGGACCACAAACACCTGAGAACATTTTGCAGACCTGCCCACTCTACCTACAACTTCGAAAAGACACCTAACCTCATGAGCAAAGTGTGCAGAGCAAGCTATGGGGAACCATGAAGGACCTGCTAATGACATGTGAGTTCATAGAGGCAACCCACCTGATGGTCTGATCTGAGCATACAAAACCAAACACGAAGAAGAAAATGATCCTGCTAGGCCAGCTAGCATCAGGTGTTGTATACAGGATGTGGGGACTCTTCATATACCATTGCTATGGGAAATTGCTGTGGCCTTGTTACAGTCTTGCATCATTTCTTTATATAGCTGGAATGTCCTTGCACTGAAACACACAGGGTAAAAGAAACAAAGGGACATCCAGAAATATATGGGGGAGAGAATTAGAGACCAAGGTGTATGAAAGGGGGGACAAACAAAGGAACCAATAGATAAACAAATAAACTGAAAATGGTCACACATTGGGGGTCATAGGTCGAGCTGCAGATGATGGCAAAGAGTAGGATAGGTTTTAAGTTGGTTGGGGGTCCTTTTCTCCATTAGGGAATGAAGGACAGAAAAAGAGAGGTTTTTCTGCCTGGCCATGATGGGAGCAATATTTTGCAAAGAACCTGCTACATCAGGGCTATTTAACTGACGGCCTAGCAAATGGCCTACTGATCTTTGCCAGTTGTATTGTAATAATGATCTTTCTATTCTAAGGTTTAGCCCTCTGGCCCGTGATGATCCTCATTTTCCAAATTTTGGCCCCTCGGTAAACTTAGTTGAATAGTACTGTGCTGTATGATGATGATGATGACTCCCTTGCTACAAGCAAAGCTACATGCCATTGTTCACTGTTGGTAAAGGAATTACTCACTGAGGGGCTATTAGTAGCAACAGTGCCCAAATGTATTAACATCTTTTCTTCACTTCCTCTTTTACCACTTCAGGTGTTTAGGTGAATCTTGTTTAGGGTGCTCTGTTTTCTTCACTTCCTCTTTTACCACTTCAGGTATCGAGGTCCCCATTGTGGGGCTCCATTTTTATAGGGATAAAAAGAATAGACCCGCCACACCAAGGCTTTTCAACTGGCAGCCTGCGGGCAACACTTAGCCCGTGGAGGGCAAGCAAGTGTCTCGCAGATCACTGCCAGTTATATTGTATCAATGACCCTTTCTTTGCTGGGGCTCGAGCCTCTGGCCCCCGCCGATCCTCAGTTTCAACATGTTGGCTCCTGAGTAAACTTAGTTGAATAGCCCTGCTGTACCTGCTAGCAAGTGTGTTGTTAAAGTCGACTAATGGGGGGGGGGGGGGGGGGGGGGGAGGTGTTCTTTCAAAGACAAAGTGCATCAGTCTCAGAGGTGAGGAACCAACAAGTTGCATACAAACAAGCAAGATTTTTGAAACAGATATACACCCAAAACTCAAGTTCTGGAACAAGAGCAAAGCCCAGAAGTGGATGAACAACCAAAACTTTATGCTAGAATTCACAGCTTGTGAATGATAAAAAGAAGGTATCAAGAAAACTGATAACATTTCTCCACTTTCTCTTGTACTTCAGGTTTTGAGGGAACTCTGTTAACATAAGTTCTCTACTTATTTTTCAGGGCATTATTGACACTGGATGGAGTAGACCCCAGGTTAGTGGATGAGACCTGGGTTCAGAACCATTACCGATGGATTGTATGGAAACTGGCAGCCTATGAAGTCTGCTTCCCTGGCAGTTTTGCTGGCAGGTAGTTTGAGGTTTATTACACACCTATCAGACAAATAGCATCACTTTTGACACAGGGAAATATACCTTTGTCTGGTAAAGTAAAAAGCTAAGGACCCTTTTCTACACCTTTCAGTCGTATTGGGTATATAGGGCTAGACTTATACTTTATAGACCAAACCGCATTTCTTGGTAGGTGATGTGGTCAGTATCACGCCGACTGCCTTTACTTCCCAGGACTGTACCTGGTACCCGCTCAAGGCTGGATCTACCTGGGAGCCAAGGTAATTTTTTTTAGAAAAAGTCTGGCCCCCATTAGGAACCAAACTTATGACCTTCCAATCCCCAGGCGAGCGTCTAGCTGGTAGACCACGATGTCTCCCATACCCCTGTCTAGCAAGTCAGATTTAATAACTTGCATGTTTTTTGTTTTGTTTTGGGACAGCTCTATGCTACCACTGTCAAACATGGACCCTTACTAAAAATTATTGAGCGCAAAATCATAACAATAGAGGCAAGGTGTCTAAGAAGATCTGCCGGAGTAACAAGAAGAGATATATTTTTTAAAAAATGAAGAATGAAATTAAAAGGCTAGGACTGAAACCAGTTATACAATTCATTAGAGATCAACAGATGAGATGGTTTGGTCATCTGACATAATTGTCCAGCTACCAGCTGCCACAGAGAACGTCGCTGAAGAATTATATTGGACATAAAACAAGGGGTAAGACCGCACGTAAAATGGAACGATGGCATCAAGAACAACCTCAAAGATATGGAGACCAACTTATTCAGTGCAGTAGGAAGAGCACAGAGATCTCCCTTCAACTCTCTGATTAACTGGAGGAAGAGAAGCAAACACAACATATCAGTCGTTGGGTGAACCCTTAATGCAGTAGAAATAGGTTCAAAGTAAAGTCAATAGATATTAATTGGCTGTTGCGCACTGGTTACATGTTTGCCTGCCGTCCGAAAGGAATTCAAATCCGCATTAGTGCAAATTTGTTAAAACTGACCTTGGCTCCCAAAGTAAATGATGTCTTAAATGGGTACCAGGAAACAGCATGAGAAGTAAAGAGTTCTTGCTTTCAGTGTATCAGACACGGACATTGTCTTCAAAAGACAGAAGACAAATAGTCACAACAGCAATGAAAAGTGTTCGTATTATGCTAGACATAACAAGGAAAGATCTACCTAGGAACAATGAAATCAGGAGGAGAGGTGGCACAGAACCGATACCGAACTGTATCGGTAGACAACAGATCAAATGGTTTGACCATCTAACAAGATCGGCAACAGACAGGGCACCACAGAGAGCCGTGTTATACAGATACAGTGGTAACATTGCCAGAGGTCGACCATACAGAAGTTTTACTGTGAAAATATCAAAGACACTGAAAAGTTCAAGACATTGCAATGCATTCTAGGAGTAGTGTGCGGTCTGAGTAGAATGATGCTGCGAGGAGTTACCAGGGGATCTGGCCGACGCTCAACATTCAAGGGAAGGATGAGATGGTTATACAATCAGACATTTACTGGTGCCATCGGAATTGGAACTCTTTGTTTGCTGCTGAAGATGGGAACAGAGTGCTTATGGGGGTGTCCCAAGTGCTATGATGTTGATTCTTAATTCAACATTCTAGGAGTAGAGAATAGAAGAGGAAGTAAAGAGTGCCTGCATGATATTGATCAAATCACCCATCGAGAGCTGATTGGTTTGTAGAAATGTGAGCAATGGTGAGTTTTTAAGAATTTCCCCTTCTTGGATTTGAACTTGAGACCTTTATGTCAGCTACCGCAGCTCCTATGTTTCATCACCTTTGGATTATATAAAATGTTCATCTGTCATTGGTTCTGTAGTTGATATTATGAGTCCTTGACTCCATCTTGCCACTGACCCTTACAGGAGCCTGATACCGGAGATGGTCATGTTGCAGCTGAAGTACAGATATGATCGGGAGATTGACCTCTGTCACAGGTGAGTGCTTTCAAAGTTTAGGTCATCTCTTGGTAGGTTATATCCTGGAGTTCTTGAGAGAATATCCTGGAGTTGTTGGTAGAATATCCTGGAGTTGTTGGTAGAATATCCTAGAGTTGTTGGTAGAATATCCTGGAGTTGTTGGTAGAATATCCTAGAGTTGTTGGTAGAATATCCTGGAGTTGTTGGTAGAATATCCTAGAGTTGTTGGTAGAATATCCTGGAATTGTTGGTAGAATATCCTAGAGTTGTTGGTAGAATATCCTGGAGTTGTTGGTAGAATATCCTAGAGTTGTTGGTAGAATATCCTAGAGTTGTTGGTAGAATATCCTGGAGTTGTTGGGAGAATATTCTTGAGTTGTTGGGAGAATATCCTGGAGTTCTTGAACTGTTGGGAGATTATCCTAGAATTGTTGGGAGAATATCCTGAAACTGTTGGGAGATTATCTTAGAATTGTTGGGGGAATATCCTTAAATTGTAAGGAGAATATCCTTATATTGTTATTAGATTATCCTGGAATTGTTAATAGATTATCCTGGAATTGTTGGGAGAATATCCTGAAATTGTCATGATTTATCCTGGAATTGTTGGGAGAATATCCTGTAATTGTCGTGGGATTATCCTGGAATTGTTGGGAGAATATCCTGAAATTGTCGTGGGATTATCCTGGAATTGTTGGGAGAATATCCTGGAATTGTCGTGGGATTATCCTGGAATTGTTGGGAGAATATCTGACATTATTGGGGGGAATTCCTGGAATTATTGATATAATACACTGTTGTGTTTTTAATGTGAATATTTTACTTCTGTTGTTGTATACTCTCTTGTGCTGTTGCACTTTCATATTGTTGTGCTTTAATTCATATTGTAGCACATTCACTGTAAAGGTTGCACTTTCACTAATATTTTTTGAACTTGTGTATGTGGCTGTCTCTGTCGTACAGATCTGCAATTAAGAAGATAGTAGAGAGGGACGACACTCCATGCAAACGACTCATCTTGTGTGTTGCCTCGGTGAAACAAACGCTGCATGGCCAGGTAAGTGGGGAAATCTGATGCCAAGGTGACTTGGGTAGTTGAATAGACATGCAACAGCTGGTTTGGTAATTGATTGTTTTGATGATGTTAATGTTTACAGTTCATTCTTTAACAAAATCAGCCAGGAGCTAAAGTGTACTTATACAGAAGGCTACAAGTCTAGAGGCAGACCAAGAAAGAGATGGGTAGAGGGAGTAAAAGAGGCACTACAGAAATTTCAGAAGAGTATTAAAGCAAGCCAGGCAACTAGCAAAACACAAAAAGCTACACCTAACTCTTCTGTGCAACACTGTACAGCAGAAGCAGTAGGACAAAAGGAGAGGGATTACAGGGATGATGACAGAGCAATGAAGTTGAGTACAATGACCATTTTGGCAACAATTACATTTACATATAGTGGTGTGTTGCAGACTCCAGTTATCATCCCTGGATATTTTAATGTTTATGTTGCTATTTTTTTTTTTTTTTCGTTTAGCTATTTAAGCTTTCTGCTTGCCTTTTTTTTTTTCCAGGGTTTTCCCTCTCAGAAAAATGGTGCCGGTGCCCACCTCAAAGTGTCTTTAAAAAAAGTGACGGTGCTCAGCATAAACTGTCTGTTACAGTAGCACTGAGGGAAAAAATTTGACGCCTAAAAAAAGTGCAGTGCCCTTACTGCCTGCCACTAGAAATATACCCTGATCTTTTTTTGTGTGCGTTTTTTGTTTACCACTTTTTTCAGGATGTTGTGGTAAACGCTCGCCTGCCGCCCTAAAGATATTGGGTTTGAATCATCTAGTCAGATTTTTTTTTTTTAAAACTTCCAGGCTGATGCCAAAGCACCTCACCCTTAGAGTGTTGATTGTTCTATAAAAAACATCTCCTAGCACCATATTCCCATTGTATCACTACTGCAAAGGTCTTTCCTCTTCTGTTAACCTCTTTCAACATGTATCTTTCTCTGTCTCCTCTCTCACTGACTGTATTTTCACATCAGACTCATTTCTTTCACATGGGTTCCATTTTGGAGCATGTCGCAGGAGGCGGTTAATTAGGGGAGTTTCCTTCAAAGCTGGAGTTTATCTGCCTGAGAGGCAGGGAACCAACAGTCTGCATACAACTAAGCCAGATCTGTAAAATGGATCTGCATGAAAAACTCAAGTTCTGGATCAGGACCAAAATCCAAGAATGAACCAACAACCGGAACCTTCTGCCGGGGTTTACCCGAGTTTGCAGCCAGTAAACACTTAGAATAAGAAGACTCATTTCTCTACTCCTTTACGCTGTTGATTTTGGGGGGGGCACTTTAAGTGTGGCCTTTCGTTAAAGTCAAGAGTATCGACTTCTTTGCACCGGGTTTTATCCCAAATGGCTTAGTCTCTCTCCTTAGAACGGCTAGCTGTCTGCAAGAGTGTTGCGCAGAGCTCCAACTCTGTAGCTTTGTCAGAAATAATTGCACTCTGTGGATTGAAGGGCGCAGCCCTGAAACGAACCCACTACCTTCAGAGCAAGGCAAGCTGCTTCACCACTTCGCCATTGAGACTCCCGAGTGCGCCTGAAATATCAGTACCTTAGAATCTACTTTCTTTATTAACAACATTTTTTCGTCTAGTAAACATACATTTTGATGAAATGATTACGTTCTAGATAAAAGTAAAGTGATCACGCCTTTGCATGATATGTCCCATATTTTTACATTATCACACATTGCTCAGCATTGCAAGCTGATGATGACAGGATGATAGTTAACTGATTATGTCACCCTTGCAGTTTTCAGTTGAGCTGACAGACGGGTGGTACTCGATCCCAGCACAACTGGATGACTGTCTAACACAGCTTGTAGCCAGGAAAAGAATCCGGCCAGGAGATAAGATCGTCAGCACTGGGGCAGAGCTGGGTGGGTGCGCAGATGGATGTTCACCTCTGGAGGTAAGTGTTTTTGTTCCCCATCCTACATTGGAGACATTGGAGAACAAACATCGTGACAACTGGAAAGATCAGTGGAAAATGGGGTAGAGGCAGACCAGGAGAGATGATGCTGGATGGGCTGAAACGGTGTCATGGAGGGATATCAAGAGAGCTGTTCCAGGCTCACATGAATAGTGATCTGTGGAGACCCATGAACACCTAGGCCAGTTGGCAGGGCACATGATGATGACGATCCTACATTCAGTAGTCTAAGAAAATGGACAGTAAATAGAAAATATAGTACATTGAATAAGAACACAAATTACTGCCTTTGAAATGCGCTGTCTCCTTTAAGGTTATCTTACTTTACTTTTTCCTTCCACGTATGCCGCTAAGCGTTGTGGGGAGATGCAAGTTCCTGTCATAAGCGAGGCGGGCAGCAAGGTTATCAGCAACACAAAAACTGTTGTTTGTTTGCACTCACTGGCTGTAAACCATTTCTGGACTTTGCCTTTGTTCCAGGACCTGAGATGTGTATGTGCATCCATTTTACAAATCTTGCTTATTTGTATGCAGACTGTTGGTTCTTTGCTTCTCAGGCAGATGCACCCCCACTTTGAGGAAAGCCCCCAATTAGTCGACTCTTACCTGCTTTTGAAGTCAGTGGGTCATTTCTTGTATTCGCCACTATGGGGCCCCAGAACACACGTGGAAAACACATATATTGACAGGGTTACGAATACTAGCATTAGAGAGACAGTGGGAGTAAGACCATGTCTGGATTATATTATTAGACAGAGAATAAAAATGGTTCGGCCAACTAGTGAGAATGCAGGGTAGTTAATGGGAAGAACTGTTCCCAGTCTCCACCCCAAAATTTGATTGATGAATCTACTGCAGTTCCCACTTAAATCATAATTTATTGTAGTCACCATGTTTTACATTTAAAAAACAAAAAAAACTGGGGCATATGTTGCTGATGAGTGGCAAGAACTGAAAGCGAAAATTTACAACTGAACACAAGACCTGCCGATTGTAAGGCCAATACCAATTACACTATGTAGACTATGATACTATAACAATGTGAACAAATGAAAACAAACTATATTTTCAAAGAGTTACAAATTGGGCAAGCAGTCCTGTCTTACATTTGGCCCTTCCAGGGACTCACCTTTCAGACCACCATTTCATGTTATCAATACTGCATGTTATATTTAAAAATAATGAATGTGATGTCTACATAAAATTATGCAGAAATATAATGAAATAATGCATACAAACATCATATATACACAGTCATACTCACTCAAAAATACCTATGTACACACTTTCTTACACGTTCATAAATACTCATACACACTAATATATACATATACACACGCTCATTCCTATACATTCATGCTCACTCATATACAGACACACACCCACATACATATATACATACACACACCCACATACAAATATACATACACACACCCACATACATACATACATACATACATACATACATACATACATACATACATACATACATACATACATACATACATACATACACACACCCACATGTATACATACATACACACACCCACATACATACATACATACATACATACATACATACATACATACATACATACATACATACATACATACATACATACATACATACATACATACATACATACATACATACATACATACATACATACATACATACATACTTACATACATACTTACATACATACATACATACATACCCACAAACACCCATCTACATAAATACACCCATCCACCATACATATACACACATATACACTCATACACACCCATCCACATGCATAATACATCCATACATACACCCAAACACATACATGCACACACACAATCTCTCTCTCTCTCTCACACACACACACACACAATCTCTCTCTCTCTCCCCCTCTCTTACTCTCTCTCTCTCTCTCCCTCTCTTTCTCTCTCTCTCTCTCTCTCTCTCTCTCTCTCTCTCTCCCTCTCTTTCTCTCTCTCTCTCTCCCTCTCTCTCTCTCTCTCTCTCTCCCTCTCTTTCTCTCTCTCTCACTCTCTCTCTCTCTCTCTCTCTCACTCACACACACACACACAATTAAGACCAGTAATGTACAATGTAATAGACTGACATGTACATTGTCTGTTATATGGTAGAGAAGAGAGTTAATTGTGATCATGTCAAAACATGACCATATCCTCTTGTTGATCATTGCGGGGTCCATTTCACTCCTCGTCAGTGTTGACGGCTGGGTCGTCAGACAGATTGTCTCTGCTCACGCCAGAAGTACACATGTCTGCTGGCGTGCAGTGAAGATTAGCTAACTCATAACATTCACATTTCAAAGTGATCCTTACTATTACTTATTGAAAGAAACTATTAATTCTTCAACAGCTTTGACAAGTTTTCTTGCCATTTTGTATTAACCAAGTGTGGAATAATCCGAAACCACAAATCTATATCAGGGCACAAAATACACAGATCACCGACCACACTGCTATGGCAAACAAAGCAAAAGCATAAAGTGGAATACAGTAACCACACCTAAATGCAGTTGACGGTGTTTTCAATATTATGTGATTAGGTCAGTGAGATATGAATGTAGCTAATGTATATTGCCCTTTGACCCCTGAGAAAACAGTCCATGGAAATCTGTGAGGAAATTTTAAAAAATGTGCTTTTACATCCATAGCACTGGGGGTTAAAAAAAAATAACATCCAAAGACGTGCATAGCAGTGTACTGGGAAACTGCAAAATATGTCCATAGCAGTGGAAAGGGTTAAACATCTCATGTTGTTTTTTTTTAACATTTTTTATAAGCAGCTATGACCCTTTTCTCAAGTGCCATGACCATGAATGTTTTCACACAAATTGTTTTTACAATACATTTCAGCTCAAGGAAGGGACAGCACTGAAACTGAATGGTAACGCCACACGACCGGCTCCCTGGTATAGCAGACTCGGGTACTGTTTCCCGCCCTCAGCCTTGTGTGTCCCACTGAGTTCACTGAGCCTCTCTGGAGGGCTGGCTTCTTGCGTGGATGTAGTCTTCTGCAGGAAGTATCCAGTTTTGGTAAGTTAAATTTTTCACTCTTATAGTGAAACTAATATTACTTTTGAAATTGTTATTTCAATGTCAAATCAAAACTGTTGCATAGAGCAAAAACATGGAGAACAACTAAGGCAGTTACTTAATAAACTACAAACATTCTTTGACCAGTGGCTGCGCAGAATAGAGGGGATTAAATGGTTTTGTAGAAACACTAGTGTTGAGCTTTAGGAAAGAACTAAACAAGTACCACTGGAACACTGAGAACATGGAGAACAACTAAGGCAGTTACTGATAAACTACAAACATTCTTTAACTAGTTAAGCCTTGCAGAATAGAGGGAATTAAATGTTAGGGTAGAAACACTAGTGGGGGAGGACTAAACTAGTGCCACTGGACCAAGAGATGAAGAAAAGATGCTGGTGTTGGATAGGACACATGTTGAGAAAACCTGAGGACAGTATAACTAGAATGTCTTTGCACTGGAACCCAGAGGGGCATAGAAATAAAGGGAGACCAAAAACCACATGGAGAAGGGAGCTGGAGAGTGAAGTTAAAAAGGAGGGGAGGACATGGGGTCAGCTGCATGCCGTAAGGAACGATAGAGTAACATGGTGTGAGTTGACTGAGGGCCTATGCTTCATTGGGGGATAGAAAGCAGAAGAAGAATAATAATATTACTTTGTGTTATTTTTAGCTTTTGCTCATAAAGCCAGTGGTAAAAGCGCTAGATGATGATGATGATGATGACAGATATGAGTGCAAGAAGTCCCAGCTACTTGATGTGTGGAGATATCTGTTAGCTGGTAATCTCAAGAAAGCTCTGTCTCATGCTCCAAGTAGCGTGTACTTTTTGCTCTAATCTCTGTCATTATCATCATCTAACGCTTTTACGACTGGCGCAGACGATCATGCCTCTGGTACAGTTGCCATTATCATCATCTAACGCCTTTATGACTGGGGCAGATGATCATGCCTCTGATGTCTGGTACAGTTGTCATTATCATCATCTAACACCTTTATGACTGGCACAGGCAATCATGCCTCTGACCTTTGGTACAGTTGAACAGCAAAGTGAGTTTAGCACACAACAGTGAGTAATATTACCATTTACTCTTTCATTGTCATGTATGTGAGTAATATTACCATTTACTCTTTCATTGTCCAGTCTGTGAGTAATATTACAATTTAATCTTTTCTTGCCTAGTCTGTGAGTAATATTACCATTTACTCTTTCATTGTCCAGTCTGTGAATAATATTACCATTTACTCTTTCATTGTCCAGTCTGTGAGTAATATTACCATTTACTCTTTCATTGTCCAGTCTGTGAATAATATTACCATTTACTCTTTCATTGTCCAGTCTGTGAGTAATATTATCATTTATTCTTTCATTGTCCAGTCTGTGAGTAATATTACCATTTATTCTTTCATTGTTCAGTCTGTGAGTAATATTATCATTTACTCTTTCATTGTCCAGTCTGTGAGTAATATTATCATTTATTCTTTCATTGTCCAGTCTGTGAGTAATATTACCATTTATTCTTTCATTGTCCAGTCTGTGAGTAATATTACCATTTATTCTTTCATTGTCCAGTCTGTGAGTAATATTACCATTTATTCTTTCATTGTCCAGTCTGTGAGTAATATTACCATTTATTCTTTCATTGTCCAGTCTGTGAGTAATATTATCATTTATTCTTTCATTGTCCAGTCTGTGAGTAATATTATCATTTATTCTTTCATTGTCCAGTCTGTGAGTAATATTACCATTTATTCTTTCATTGTCCAGTCTGTGAGTAATATTACCATTTATTCTTTCATTGTCCAGTCTGTGAGTAATATTATCATTTATTCTTTCATTGTCCAGTCTGTGAGTAATATTATCATTTACTCCTCTCTTGCCTAGTCTGTGAGTAATATCACCATTTAGTCTTTCATTGTCTAGTCTGTGAGTAGACTGTAGTCTTGTTTAATTCCTCCATGACTAATCTGTGAGTAGTATTACCACTTTTTCCTTGCTGAAGGTCAGCTGTCATCATTGGTCATCTTTATGCTGAAGGTCGGCTGCAGTGAGTCTCTTGCCTTCACCACAGAACACTCACCTATACCTGTCTGATTGTATTGATTTTTTGTCTCTGCAGTATCTGGAAAAACTTCATGATGGCTCCTTTTGTCTGATTATGTTGATTTTGTCTGCAGTTCAGTGAGAAGCTTTAGGATTGTCTCATTGTATTGATTCTTTCTGCAGTACATGGAGAAGCTTCAGGATTATCTGATTGTATTTATTCTTTCTGCAGTACATGGAGAAGCTTCAGGATGGTTCCTCTGTCTTCCGCACTGCAGAAGAGGAGGACAAAGCCAGGCAGAAACATGAGGACTGGTTGCAGATGGAGGGTGAAAAAATCTACATGTCACTGCAGAAGGAATTGGAGAATGATACAAGAGGTAGGTTAAGGTAGTTATGAGAGGTTTAGTCTTCCTTGTCACGTTCACTGGCAGTAAACATTGGCAAAAATGTCTGGCTGTTCATCCACTTCTGGACTTTGTTCTTTTTTTTCCAGCACTTGAGTTCTGTGTGAACATATGTTTTACAGATCTAGCTTTTTTGTACACAGACCGCTGATTCCTTAACCTCTTAGGCAGAGTCCCTCTAACTTCCAAGAAAACCTCTAATTACTCGACTTTTACAACACACTTGTTAGACAGGCAGTGGGTCAATTCTTCCACTCCCCCCCCCCCCCTCCCAATGGGTTCAGCCAAGGTACTTCTACTGTTTGTTTCTATGAGGAGCTTGTTATAATGTCTCCTATCTCGGCCTCGAAGGCGGCATAGACGTGCTTCACCATGCTTTACTCCAGCGGCGCACAATCATATTAGTGTCAGAGAATCATCATTATCCACTAGCCCAGTTTGTACAGCGTTGATGATTTCTGTTCTGTCCATGCTTTTCCCACATGCGTTGGAGCATTGCTTGCCAGTTGGTCCGCTTGCTCACAGTTCAGGTCTGCACACTTGAGGCTGTCACAGTTTATTTCTGCACAGTTGAGGCTGGTACATTTAGTTCTGCACAGCTGAGGCTTACACAATTCAGGTTTGCACAGATGAAGCTGGCATAGCTGACATTGGCACAGCTTAGGTAAGCATAGATGAGGCTGGCACAGATTAGGTCATTAGGAAAGATTAGTCCACCTGCAGGGAGATCCTCAAAGAGCCACTGGGCAGCAGGCAAGTATTCTGATCATTATATTACTGTCCTACTTGTCTCCCCAAAAATAAAGAAAAAGACTTTCTTCCATCACTTCAGACATATCGGGCATACAGTAAAAGTTGGGAAAAAAAAGTGAAGGACCCTTTTCCACGCCTTTAGGCATATAGGGTTAGACCTATATTTTTTATAGACCAATCGGCACAAGATGTGTGATGTGGTCAGCATCACGCCAGCCGCCTCTATTTCCCGGGACAGCACCCGATACCCACTCAAGGCTGGGTCGACCTAGGAGCCACGGTCATTTTTGAAAATAGTCCGGCTCCTCCAGGGAGCGAACCCACGACCATCCGATCCGCGGCGAGCGTCTAGCCGCTCCGCCACGAGGACTCCCTCGGGCATACAGTGGCGGATCTATATTCTAAAAAAGTTCAGCTCCGTCTGGATTTGAACCCACAGCCTTAAGATCCCCAGGCAAGGGTCTAGCCTCTACACCACGGCGGTTCCCTCCTTTCCTCTAGTGACATAATACTAAACCAGAACCAAAGAAAGCTTTTGTTTGCTGCTTTCAGCCGGCAGGCCAGGGCGGGGCAGGACAGGCCAGAAAGACATCAAGAGTTTGTGGTCTGGACAAGATGTGGCTGCAGCTCTTGAGGATGCCTTGAACCCTGAGGAGCTGCAGGTGACTGTTGATACTGTTGTTGTGTTTGTTCATGTTCTTATTCTGATGTTTGTTGGTATTATAGTTTTTTTGTGTGTGTGTGGTTATTGGTGTCCTGATGTTTATTGGTGTCATAATGTTTATTGGTGTCATGATGTTTATTGGTGTCATGATGTTTATTGGTGTCATGATGTTTATTGGTGGCGTCCATGGCTTAGGGGTTGCGAGTCCAATTAGTAATTCAAACGTACCGTGATCAAAACCCACTGCTAGCTGTATGGATTTTTTCATGGTGTGGGGCGTCACAGGTCTACCCAGTCTAAAATGGGTAGCAGGATGTGTTTCCTGGGGAAGTAAAGACTGCTGGCGTAATGCTGACCACCTTACAAACCTAGTACCGATTGGTCTATAAATATATGGGTGCTCTTCCCTTATGCCCGATGCGCCTCAAGGAGGGAAAAGGGATCTTTACAAAAATGTTTATTGGTGTCATGTTTATTGGTGTCTTGATGTTTGTTGGTGTCATGGTTTTTGCTGATGTCATGGTTTTTGCTGATGCATTCAACGTCACGATGTTTACGGATAATAATATCAAGGTCCATGCCAAATACATGTGTGAATATGTGCCTTTCAGCAATCACTCAGCTGCAGTCAGATGGAAAGGCTGATGACATACCGACAGGCTGAGGTTGAGCGGAGGCAGCAGGAAATCAACAGAAAACTGCAGGAAGTCATGACAGAAGCATGCAAGGTCAGTGGGCTGTGTTGTTTATTTGCAAAATCTGACCTACTTGTTTATCTTGACCTTGAATTGTTGTTTCTAATGTTTTGTTGTTAGAAGTGTAAGTAGCTCTGCCTTGAAAAGAATTAGATATTTGGTGTTCCCCCACGTTTGAACTCTTGTCTGCCTCCCTAACAAGCATGTCATAAGAGTTTACTAATTACAAGTTTCCTTCAAAGATGAGTGGGCCTGCCTGAAAGGCAAGGAACCAGCAGTCTGCATTCAAATAAGCCAGATCGGTAAAACAGATGTGCACACAAAACTCAAATGTGTGAACAAGACTAAAGTCCAGAAGTGGATGTACAACCAGAACTTTTCGCTGGAGTTTACAGCTGGTGAATGTGTAGAAAATAATCTCTTTCATTTACTAAGGAACCCACAGTGGTTTTACTGATGTCTCTGATATTTTAGAAGTGTGTGCCAGCAGGACAAGAATGATAAAAGTATTGAGGTGGAATTTTAGAAATATCATGCTGTGGGCCACTTTTAATGGAAGGGGGAGAACGAGTTGTCACTTAGAGCTTTTTAGAGGAATATATCATATAATTTTTGTGATTCTGCAAATTCCTTATTTCTTCTTAATTTTTTTATGGCAGTATATTTCCATATCTGTATATTTACAGGTGTATAAATATTAGAGTATCTAAGATTAGCTAGTGTAATATAAAATCAGTAGAGGCCTCGGGGTTTCATCAATCTTAACCCACTGACTACCAAGCCCATTAACCCTTGCATTCCCCCAGATACCACACATTTTAGTGTTTACTAAAAATGCCATAGCTTCACAACTATTTGATATAATCACACAATATTTTGTATTTTTGCACCAAACTGAATGAAGAACAGATTTCAAGAAAAAAAAGTTGTTTATTTTGCTTTGCATCATCATCATGTGGCTGTAGATTGGTGCAAAAAAGGCAACCGGAAAATCTTTTATCTGACAACAATAAAGACAAATAAAAATGTCTTATTTTCAAAAAATATTTAACAAAAATGTATAATATTTTGTATTTTTTCACAAAATTAAACCAAGAACCCATTTAAAGAAAAAAACAATAAGGTTTACTCTGACATAGTCATCATCATCATGTGGCTGTAGATTGTTGCAAAAAAGGCAACTGAAAATCATTTATCTGACAACAATAAAGACTGATAGTGATGATTTGTTTTCAAAAATTGTCAACAAACATATAAAATATTTTGTATTTTTGCACAAAATTGAACCGAGAACAATGTGAAGACAAAAAATGGGGTTTACTTTGTCTGACATAATCATCATCATCATGTGGCTGTAGATTGTTGCAAAAAAGGCAACTGAAAAATCCTTTGTCTGACAATAATTTAGACTCCCAAAAAATGTCACAGCTTCACAACTGTTCAATATCACTAATCCTATCTGATATTGTTTGCACAAAATTAAATAGATAACAAATATCAAGACAAATGTAGATTTACTGTTTTATATCATCATCATGTGGCTGTAGATATGGTGCAAAAAAGGCAACTGAAAAATCCTTTGTCTGACAATAATTCAGACTCCCAAAAAATGTCACAGCTTCACAACTGTTCAGTATCACTTATCCTATCTGATATTGTTTGCACAAAATTAAATAGATAACAGATATCAAGACAAATGTAGATTTACTGTTTTATATCATCATCATGTGGCTGTAGATATGGTGCTAAAAAGGCAACAGAAAAATATGTTATCTGACAGCAATATATAGAAAACGCCCCCGTGACATGATGGTTGAGTGGAGAGATGGATATAGACTCTGGTAGTCTGAAATAGACGGCTTTTTCACAACACATGTGACACAACAGTACAAGAAACCCTGTCACTTCATTTGGGGTTGTGTGTTTCCAGTTCCAGCACTAATCTTTGTCTCAGCAGAACGGTTTGTTTCTTTAGCAAACACAGCCAGAATTTCTTTACTGAAGAAAATATTCAGTGGTTCATTTGTTCCTGCTGGCAGAAATAAACCAAAAGTGCCAGTAAATGGGGGTACTCCAGGAGAGCCTTCTAAATCACAATGCCAGTCATCAACCATTTGGGGGCATGGCACATCTTCTCCGGACTCGTTAGATGATGATGATTCTGAATCAAAAGCGGCAATGATATCTTCGTCATGTGCAGACTCAAGCACAAAATCTTTATAATCTGTGGGCTTTGACTGAATACTCTTACAAGAACTATTAGCATCATAAACTGCAGCACTAATGCTTTCAGCCGACAACACTGTCTTTGTCAGACGACTTCGAAGCGTCATACTGTCGTTTTACAGTCGACGACGTTTTGAATGGCATTTCGTTAAATTTATTATAGTCAAAGCCATCAAACTGTTCAGAAGTGTCTTCAAATTCACTTTTTGAAGCAAAATCAAGAAAATCGCATGCATCATTAGAAAAATTAGGAGAGATATGGCCACCACGATGGTTCCGATAATTTGACGCCATGATGAATTTTTCGTCAATGTCTCACCGTCATGGGAGCTAACTAAAAAAATGCGTCAAATATTTACTTCCAGCACTACAGAGTTATTTCCCTTAATTAACCATACAGAAATGAATAAGCTAGAGGTTTCAACTAAATCCATCATAAAAATCGCAATTTTAACATGACGGCGAGCGTCCAAAGCTAAAATCGCAAAGGGTGTGACGTTGGCAGTAGGAAGTAAACGTTGCCTTGTCGCATTACGTGCGACGTTGGTAGTCAGTGGGTTAATGCAACCCTGGTTGTCGCTTTTGTAGTCTGTACTAGTAGTCTCTTTGGGCACAGTCCCAAACTTTCTGCGCCTGAAAGAGTTCATTTTTGTTGACTCTTGTTAACTGTTGCAGTGCCCAGGCACATAATACATTCGTAGGTTCCTACCTAGAAGCCCAGAAAATGCAAGATGCGCCTTTCTCTGTTCTACATGTTGGGCCTCTGAGGCTAAAACCTCCAGGGACTGAAAGAGTTCATGCAGCATATATGATTTCCTATTCTGTGTAGCAATCTTCTATGCCAGAGCTTTCAGCTGAGTTTACTCATGGGCTAGAATGTTGAAAATAGGAATCATCTGAGGCTAGGGATCCTAATTGCAGCATAGAAAGGATCAGTAATACAACACAGTTGGCAATGATCTATGCAATGGAGCTAATCAAGTTTTAGGCCAAATGGCACTGATTTTGAAATGAAAGCATGTCAGTGTGAACACTAAAAGAACACTGTTCAACACAGTATTCTTACCATGCCATGCTGTCAGTGTCAAACATGGATACTGTCTTCAGAAGACAAAAGGAAAAAATAGGACAGAAATGAAATGTTTACATACTATGCTGGGTGTAACGAGGAATGATAGACTTAAGAATGATGCTATCAGAAGGAGAGTCGGCATGGAAAAATACTTAACTTTATGGATAGACAACATATCAAATAGTTTGGTCATATACCAAGATTGGCAACACACGGGGCAATGTTAAATAGATACAGAGCCAGAGGTTGACCATACAGATCATGGACCGCAGAAAAATCAGGGACACTGAAAAGTACTTTATATGAAGCGAACAGAAGGGCAGCTTCTGAGGATCTCTTCCTGCCCCGGCACTGCGAGGCATTCCAGGAGCAGAGAAAAGACTGAGAAAAATGATCTACAGTCCACTTGCAATATAGAGAGCACACAAAAGACCTGTGCCTCCCCCCCCCCCCCCCCCCCCCCCACCCCCCCCCACTTCAGAGTTGAAAATGGAACAGGAAGAAAACTAACATTACATTATTTCACTGACAGACTCGCGTTAGCAAAATTGATAGGAGACTTACATTTAAATCCAGCTGCAAGTCGCTGCAGCCCACGGCAGGTGTTCAAAACTTGGCAGCCCCAGGGGGTTCACCCAGCCTCTAGGTATTAGCGACCTGAGTTAACAGTCTGGGGTAAATTGAGGAACATCGCTGTAGCTACAGAGTTGAGTGCAGACGGCGACACAGGCGGACAGTTTCTTATCAGCTGTCCGTACTGGTGGCAGAGCACTTATAACCGTGTGCAGTGATGCTGGTTCACATCTCCCACCTTTACCTTTACTGACAGACTAGATAATTATATTGTAACTCTAAATTATTTTAGCTATGGACTAAATATGATGTGCAAATTTTGATACTTATATTGATTTTTTGGTTTAATATATGGTTTGTGTTTGTTGTCATTGACCAGCCTCGACATGTGACCTCAGTTGTCAAGTTTAAAGTCCGTGGTTGTTGTCGCCGTGATGTGGATAGTAGAAGCAGTAAGTATGTATCTGTGAATGTTAATTCTGAGATGTGGATACTTGGCACTTTAATGCGGATACTTGTGGACACTTATACCCCCCCCCCCCCCCTCCTTTCCCACGCACGCACACAAACACACACACACACACACACACACAATTAGTAAATATACATACACAAATGTTTTACAAATTTATTTAGTGCAAAATGTTTTTGTTTTTTAAAACTTTTTTATGCGTGTCGAATTACTTAGTTTGTAGTTTATTTTCTAAAGTCTTGCTGTGGCGAAAGGATTAAAAGCCAAGGATATATTTAATTGCATGGACATGAATTGATCAAATTTTCCTTGGGTTTACTAGAGTTGTGGTAAATGTGAGGGTGTGGTTTCTATTGCCAGGTTGCCATCTGGTGGTGTGGAGGCCAGGTTCTGAGTGGATGGAGGTGGAAGAAGGAAAGAGATACAAACTATTCAATGTTTCTGTGACACCTGGGAGGTAAGTCAGTTTGGATCTCTTTCTCTTTAGAGATGGGGTCTGTGTATTCTGTCATAGTACAGTTTGTAGTTGTTCTTTTTATTGTCTTCTTTGATTGATAACCTGACTTTTTGTTTTGACTTTATTGCAGTGAATCTTCTTCTTCTTCTTTGTGTTCTCCTGCTGTAAACTCCAGCGGAAAGTTCTGGACTTTAGTCTTTTGTTCCAGAACCTGACTGTTGCATGCACATCTGTTTTCAGATCTGACCTGTTTGTATGCAGATTGTTGGTTCCTTTCCTCTCAAGCAAATGGCACTCCGACTTCAAAGGAAAACCCCAGTTAGTCGACTCTTACAACGTGCTTTTGGGGAGGCAGTGGGTCTATTGTTTTCCCTACAATGGGGCCTAGTAAACCACACAGGGAATTTTAATGAATGAGAACGAAAGAAAATAAGAAAGAAAAAAAAAAGGAAGTTAGAGATGAAAGTGGCAGGATTTGGCAAAGTGTAGAATAGGTATGTTTGGGCTGTAGGTGGTTCATATATTGGGTGGTAGCGAAAGAGTTCAGAAATCAAGTGTTTCTGTTGTCCAAGGATTGTCTGATGACCTTATGATGAGTTGATTTCCTACTGATGTAGGAACTTATCACAAACATCAGAAAGAGACAGTCATTATTTTCTGCCCATGTTATGACCACTGGAAAGATCTGTGGAAAAAGAGAGACAGAGGAGGACAGCGTGAAAAGATTCTGGACAGTATTTTGTCATGGCATAGAAGAGTGTCAACACACAAACTGATACATGTACAGCTAGAGGATAACTGCACTTTTCAACCAAACCCCTACAGTTTCAGCAAATTTCTAATTAGTATATGCTTGTGGCTTTTTTTGTTTTGTTCGTTTAAGTAACCAAGATTTTGACCCCCAAAGCCGCAGAATTGGAAATGTTGTATTTCATTTTTTCAGAGGTAGATCAGAGCAGGGGAAGGTGGTGTTAACTGCCACCAGACAAACCCGCATTCAAGCATGTCCCATCAGCGACAATCTGCTGGATATTGTGTACAACCGAAGAGATGTGAGAGGATGTTTGCTTTTTTTGTGTGTGGTGTTGTGATATTGTGCACAGTCAAAGAAATGTGGGAAAATGTTTGTTCTCGTTGTGTGGTGTTGTGATATTGTGTACAGCCAGAGAGATGTGAGAGCATTGTCATCATCATCATCAGTCATGAGCATGGGTGATCATGCACCTCCACAACACTCATTTCTTTGTCTATGTCTTTTCATGTTCTGAGTTTGCCGCTTTATGGATTTGAGATTAGTGAATGCAATTAACAATTTCATAATCCTTCAGTACTATGGTTTTCATTCCACAGCTTATTTTAGAGAAAAAAGTGTTCTCATGGTTTTTAGGCATTAGTACAAGAGTCATACTGTAGAAAAGATTAAGGCCTGACCACATAATATCCTTTATTCTTCTTAAAAGTTCATGCCATGTGGCATTGGTAGTTATGTCTTATCCACAACCTTCTGTCTCATGTACTTTCAGTCAGCTCTGACACTGATGATCCTTAATGCTATAAATGTCAGATTATCTGTTCTGTCTCCCTCTGCCTCTCCTCCCCTCCAACTTGTCCACTGTCACGCAATGTACTCCAGTTCTCTCCTTCTCATCACATGACCAGGATGTAGATTGTCTGTTCTGATATGGGCAACCAGTTCTCTTTGGTAATCAGTTTCTTTCAAGACATCTTTGTTACTCTTTTTGTCTGTCCAGGGTATTGCATATAATATCCCATAGCAGTGAAAACATTGAGATCGTAAGAGAAAAGTTTGACACAGAACCTGTTATAAATTACACACCAAGACATAATATCGCATAGCAGTGAAAACATTGAGATCGTAAGAGAAAAGTTTGACACAGAACCTGTTATAAATTACACACCAAGACATATAATATCCCATAGCAGTGAAAACATTGAGATCGTAAGAGAAAAGTTTGACACAGAACCTGTTATAAATTACACACCAAGACATAATATCGCATAGCAGTGAAAACATTGAGATCGTAAGAGAAAAGTTTGACACAGAACCTGTTATAAATTACACACCAAGACATATAATATCCCATAGCAGTGAAAACATTGAGATCGTAAGAGAAAAGTTTGACACAGAACCTGTTATAAATTACACACCAAGACATAATATCGCATAGCAGTGAAAACATTGAGATCGTAAGAGAAAAGTTTGACACAGAACCTGTTATAAATTACACACCAAGACATATAATATCGCATAGCAGTGAAAACATTGAGATCGTAAGAGAAAAGTTTGACACAGAACCTGTTATAAATTACACACCAAGACATATAATATCCCATAGCAGTGAAAACATTGAGATCGTAAGAGAAAAGTTTGACACAGAACCTGTTATAAATTACACACCAAGACATATAATATCGCATAGCAGTGAAAACATTGAGATCGTAAGAGAAAAGTTTGACACAGAACCTGTTATAAATTACACACCAAGACATATAATATCGCATAGCAGTGAAAACATTGAGATCGTAAGAGAAAAGTTTGACACAGAACCTGTTATAAATTACACACCAAGACATATAATATCGCATAGCAGTGAAAACATTGAGATCGTAAGAGAAAAGTTTGACACAGAACCTGTTATAAATTACACACCAAGACATATAATATCGCATAGCAGTGAAAACATTGAGATCGTAAGAGAAAAGTTTGACACAGAACCTGTTATAAATTACACACCAAGACATATAATATCCCATAGCAGTGAAAACATTGAGATCGTAAGAGAAAAGTTTGACACAGAACCTGTTATAAATTACACACCAAGACATAATATCGCATAGCAGTGAAAACATTGAGATCGTAAGAGAAAAGTTTGACACAGAACCTGTTATAAATTACACACCAAGACATATAATATCGCATAGCAGTGAAAACATTGAGATCGTAAGAGAAAAGTTTGACACAGAACCTGTTATAAATTACACACCAAGACATATAATATCCCATAGCAGTGAAAACATTGAGATCGTAAGAGAAAAGTTTGACACAGAACCTGTTATAAATTACACACCAAGACATATAATATCGCATAGCAGTGAAAACATTGAGATCGTAAGAGAAAAGTTTGACACAGAACCTGTTATAAATTACACACCAAGACATATAATATCGCATAGCAGTGAAAACATTGAGATCGTAAGAGAAAAGTTTGACACAGAACCTGTTATAAATTACACACCAAGACATATAATATCGCATAGCAGTGAAAACATTGAGATCGTAAGAGAAAAGTTTGACACAGAACCTGTTATAAATTACACACCAAGACATATAATATCGCATAGCAGTGAAAACATTGAGATCGTAAGAGAAAAGTTTGACACAGAACCTGTTATAAATTACACACCAAGACATATAATATCGCATAGCAGTGAAAACATTGAGATCGTAAGAGAAAAGTTTGACACAGAACCTGTTATAAATTACACACCAAAACGGTAGTCAAATGGCATGACCATTTAAAAAGAATGCCTTGTGACGCCATACTGTAGTTGTAACAGTTAAGGGCCCTTTTCCATGCCTCCGATTCACATTTAGGAAAATGGGGATCATCCTGGTCCAGAGGCCCGAGCCCTAAGCATTGAAATATCATTAGTAGAGTGCATTTGGCTGGTGATCCGTGGGCCACTTGCTAGGCCTCTGTGGGCCAGATTTGGTCTGCGGGCTGCCAGTTGAATAACCCTGCTGTATAACAAATACAATGTCTTGATGGCTGAGGCAGCCAGAAAAGCAAGAAGCAGAGCCTTGCATCTCCTCCAATACTTCGAGCGGTAAAAGAGAAAGTGAAGAAGAGGTAGTGAATACATTTCAGCCTACCTTTGTTGTGGAGATGGCACAGTTTAAGGAGAAAAGACATTAAAGAACTGAGTACTTCATTACCGTAGTATACCAGTTGGATTTATGGCTGTCTTATTTGTTTTTTTTTCAAACACAAATACCAAATGTAATCATGCGGAATGATCCTGCTAGTGAGATAGTGTCCATATAACTAGGACTAGGGCTTATAATGGAAGCAGGGAAAAATAACACTAATCACCACCAACTCAGATAGTGTCCATATAACTAGGACTAGGGCTTATAATGGAAGCAGGGAATAATAACACTAACCACGGCCAGCTCAGATAGTGTCCATATAACTAGGACAATGGCTTATAATGGAAGCAGGGAATAATAAAACTAACCATGGCCAGCTCAGATAGTGTCCATATAACTAGGACTAGCACTTATAATGGAAGCAGGGAATAATAACACTAATCACCGCCAACTCAGATAGTGTCCATATAACTAGGACTTATAATGGAAGCAGGAAATAATAACACTAACCACGGCCAGCTCAGATAGTGTTCATATAACTAGGACAATGGCTTATAATGGAAGCAGGGAATAATAAAACTAACCATGGCCAGCTCAGATAGTGTGAATATAACTAGGACTAGCACTTATAATGGAAGCAGGAAATAATAACACTAATCACCGCCAACTCAGATAGTGTCCATATAACTAGGACTAGGACTTATAATGGAAGCAGGGGATAATAACACTAACCACGGCCAGCTCAGATAGTGTCCATATAACTAGGACTAGGACTTATAATGGAAGCAGGGGATAATAACACTAACCACTGCCAACTCAGATAGTGTCCATATAACTAGGACTAGGACTTATAATGGAAGCAGGAAATAATAAAACTAACCACGGCCAGCTCAGATAGTGTCCATAGGACTAGGGCTTATATATTATAGTAGGTGGTTAAGGAGGATTGGCCAATGTGTGACAAGCTTACCCTAACTACAAGGGTCACCAGTCATCAACATGTCCCCCATGTGGGTTCCAGGCCCCACTTTGGGAGGGAAAAAAAAATATTTCCCCCCCCCCCCCCCCTCCCACCGACAAGCATATTGCAAAGGGCAACTAATTAGGGTGTTTCATTTAAAGTTGGGGTGCATGTGCTTGAAAGGCAAGAAACCAGTAGTCTGCACACAATGTCAGATCTGTAGAATGGAACCCGATATCTGCATACAGTCTCACATCTGTAAAATAAATGTGCACACAAAAATCATGTTCTGGAACCAGACAGGTCCAGAAGTGAATGAACAACCCACATTGTTTGCCTGAGTGTACTGCTGGTGAACACATAGAAGGTGAGTATGTCTACGAAAGGCTTGGCATTAGTCTGATGAGGGCCTGTCCTCATTGCATTTGGAAAAGAAGGTGGTAAAGAAGATAAAGATAAAAAAAAAAAAAAAAAGACCTGACATTGTTCTCTATTACCTGCCAGGCCTGGACCGTCCGTGAGTTGCTGTCTGGTCAGCCGTTTGAAGATGAGTTTGATTTTATTGGTGTGGTCATCCAGGTGGTTGCCCCAGCCAAGTAAGCTTCTTCATATGTGTGTGCGTGCGGGCAGGAGAGAGAGAGAGACTGGCCAGATTGATGTAAGGGGAGAAGCGGGAAGCAAAGAGATAAATGCCTGGATGTTGTTGATTTGATTTTTTTTTCTGTGCGTTCGGTTTTGTTTGCTCAGATCAGACCTCTATCAACTCGCATAGGAAAACAAGAATAGACCCACTGCCTGCCCAAACGCATGTTGTAAGAGTCAACTAATTGGGAGCTTCTTTCAAAGTCGGAGTGCACCTGCTTGAGAGGCAAGGAACCAATAATCTGCATGCAAATGAGTCAGACCTGTGAAACAGGTGTGCATGCAACACTCAGTTTCTGGAACAGGTCTAGAGCCTGGAAGTTGATGAACAACCAGAACTTTCGGCCAGAGTTCACAGCTGTTAAACGTGAAGAAGATAAAGATCTTGGGTCTACCCCTGTTGGTACCAAAACCACATTAAAAAAGTCAGCAGGAGTAAAATTGATCACATAACCACCGCATTAACCTTTGGTCGGGGAAATATGTGAGCCTGGCAGACTTATTAGCCTGTCCTTGTTGGGAATATAGGGCTAGACCTATTTTTTTATAGACCAATTACTTGGTGGATGATGTGGTCACCATCACGCCGGCCCCTTTTTTTTACTTCCCAGGACTGAACCTGGTATCCACTCAAGGCTGGGTCGACCTGAGAGTCAAGGTAATTTCTGAAAAAAATTGGGCTCTTTCAGGACGCGAACCCACGACCTTCCGATCCGCAGGTGTGTGTCTAGCCTCCAACGCCACAGCAACTGTCTTGTCCAGATGTTGCAGCCACAAATGTTAGTGTGGGTTAGTCCCAGTGTCTCATGTCTTTTCTTTAATCAACAGGTGCCAAATATAAGCTTCTCCCAATTTCTCACAGCTTCTCTTCACTCAACAGGTGCCAAATATGAGCTTCTCCCAATTTCTCACAGCTTCTCTTCACTCAACAGGTGCCAAATATGAGCTTCTCCCAATTTCTCACAGCTTCTCTTCAATCAACAGGTCCCACATGTATGTTTGTCTCCGTTTCTCATATTTCTAAAATGTTATCAACAGATCAACAAGTGCAATGTATCAGCTTCTCCCAGTTTCTCACATCTTCTCTTTAATCAACAGGTGCCACATGTATGTATGTCTCAACCAGTGCAACGTATCAGCTTCTCCCAGTTTCTCACAGCTTCTCTTCACTCAACATGTTCCACATGTATGTTTGTCTCCGTTTCTCATATTTCTAAAATTTTATTAACAGATCAACAAGTGCAACGTATCAGCTTCTCCCAATTTCTCACATCTTCTCTTCAATCAACAGGTCCCACATGTATGTTTGTCTCCGTTTCTCATATTTCTAAAATTGTATCAACAAATCAACAAGTGCAACGTATCAGCTTCTCCCAGTTTCTCACATCTTCTCTTTACTCAACAGGTGCCACATGTATGTATGTCTCAACAAGTGCAACGTATCAGCTTCTCCCAGTTTCTCACATCCTCTCTTTACTCAACAGGTGCCACATGTATGTATGTCTCAACAAGTGCAAGGTATCGGCTTCTCCCAGTTTCTCACATCTTCTCTTTACTCAACAGGTCAACAGGTCCCACGTGTGTGTTTGCAGCCGACAAGAATAGGGAGATTCTGTGTATCAGATTCTGGACAACTTCTCTGGTAAAATACAATTTTTAATTGAATGTATCTGTTATTAGCACCATGATCTCTTAGAAAATGAAATAGAGCATATGTATTATGGTAGAAAACTAAATAGGCCACATGATTTTGGTAGAAAACTAAATAGAACATATGTGATATATTAGAAAACTGAATAGAACGTATATATTATGGTAGAAAACTAAATAGAACATATGTATTATGGTAGAAAACTAAATAGAACATGTGTTATATTAGAAATTTTAATAGAACATATGTATTATGGTAGAAAGCTAAATAGTTAATAATGGTCCCTCTTCGGCACCTTTAGGCATATAGGGCTAGACCTATATTTTATAGACCAGTCGGCACTTGGTGGGTGATGTGGTCAGCATCACACCCACCGCATTTACTTCCCGTGGCTGGGTCCACCTAGGAGCCAAGGTCATTTTTGCAACAACAACAAAAGTGCAGCTGTGTCAGGACTTGAGCTGGCGACATTCAGAGCCACAGGCAAACGTAGATAACTAGAGCCTACATATTATGGTGAAGTACAGATGAACCAAGGTGCCCTTCTATAAACGTGTACTTACAATTGTGCACTTTAGTACGAAGGTATCTTTTTGATGCCCTGAGTATAGAACTGCCTTTCCTGTGTGAGTTCCAAGGCTCCATTCTGGGGGTGGGTGTGCATACGTTTGACAGATCTGACTCATTTGTATGGAACTGCTGGTTCCTTGCCTCTCAGGCAGATGCACTCTGACTTTGAAGGAAGCTTCCAATTAGTCGACTCTTACGACATGCTTTTATGTAGGCAGTGGGTCTGTTATTGTTTTCCCTATAACAGGGCCCCGGAACCCACACAGGGTTAGCACTATATGTCCAGTGCACCTTACATCATGGAAAAAGGTCCTCTACTATACAATTTCTGTACATTTTATCTTTCAGATGACTACCCTGCAACCAGGACAGTGTTTTGTGGCCTCCAGTCTGAACCTGGCTAGGGGTCTTCAGAACTCTGGGAGTAGGCCGGGTCTGGTATCGGCAGACGCCAGGTCAGATGTGACCAGTGTCTCCACGTCTGCTCGATGTGCCAGGAAGTACTCAGATCTGTTTGCTCAAGTAACCAGCATCAGTAAGGTAATTGACCAGTTGTGGGTTGGCTGAACATTTGCTGCATTTCTGTTGACTGGGTATTTATTGCATTTCAGTTGATTATACATTTCAGCTAATTAGACATTTGTTGCATTTTAGTTGATCAGAAATTTGTTACATTTTTTTTTACTTGGACATTTGTTGTATTACAGTTGATTGAAAATTCGTCCCATTACAAGACATTTTATTAATTTGTGGGTGGATGGTTGGCTGTGGGATTGATGGTTGTTAGCTCAGGGGGTTGAAAGGTGGTCGGTTGATTCAGTAGGTGAATGGTTGGCTGTGGGATTGATAGTTGTTAGCTCAGGGGGTCAAAAGGTGGTCGGTTGATTCAGTAGGTGAATGGTTGGCTGTGGGATTGATAGTTGTTAGCTCAGGGGGTCAAAAGGTGGTCGGTTGATTCAGTAGGTAAATGGTTGGCTGTGGGATTGATAGTTGTTAGCTCAGGGGGTCAAAAGGTGGTCGGTTGATTCAGTAGGTAAATGGTTGGCTGTGGGATTGATAGTTGTTAGCTCAGGGGGTCAAAAGGTGGTCGGTTGATTCAGTAGGTGAATGGTTGGCTGTGGGATTGATAGTTGTTAGCTCAGGGGGTCAAAAGGTGGTCGGTTGATTCAGTAGGTAAATGGTTGGCTGTGGGATTGATGGTTGTTTGCTCAGGGGGTTGGAAGGTGGTTGGTTGATTCAGTAGGTGAATGGTTAGCTGTGGGATTGATGGTTGTTTGCTCAGGGGGTTGGAAGGTGGTTGGTTGATTCAGTAGGTGAATGGTTAGCTGTGGGATTGATGGTTGTTAGCTCAGGGGGTTGGAAGGTGGTTGGTTGATTCAGTAGATGAATGGCTGACTTTGGGGATTGATGGTTAGCTCAGGGGGTTGAAAGGTGGTTGGTTGATTCAGTAGGTGAATGGTTGGCTTTGGGGATTGATGGTTAGCTCTGAGGGTTGAAAGGTGGTTGGTTGATTCAGTAGGTGAATGGTTGGCTTTGGGGATTGATGGTTAGCTCTGAGGGTTGAAAGGTGGTTGGTTGATTCAGTAGGTGAATGGTTGGCTTTGGAAATTGATGGTTAGCCCTGAGGGTTGAAAGGTGGTTGGTTGATTCAGTAGATGAATGGTTAACTTTGGGGATTGATAGTTAGCTCTGAGGGTTGAAAGGTGGTTGGTTGATTCAGTAGGTGAATGGTTGGCTTTGGGGATTGATGGTTAGCTCTGAGGGTTGAAAGGTGTTCGGTTGATTCAGTAGGTGAATGGTTGGCTTTGGGGATTGATGGTTAGCTCTGAGGGTTGAAAGGTGGTTGGTTGATTCAGTAGGTGAATGGTTGGCTTTGGGGATTGATGGTTAGCTCTGAGGGTTAAAAGGTGTTCGGTTGATTCAGTAGGTGAATGGTTGGCTTTGGGGATTGATGGTTAGCTCTGAGGGTTGAAAGGTGTTCGGTTGATTCAGTAGGTGAATGGTTGGCTTTGGGGATTGATGGTTAGCTCTGAGGGTTGGAAGGTGGTTGGTTGATTCAGTAGGTGAATGGTTGGCAGATGGATGGTTGATTGTATGTGAATAATGATTGATTTGATAGATGGATGGTTGAATGTGTGTTTGATTAGTGATTGATTGATTTGGTAGATGGATGGTTGAATGCATGTTTGATAATTGATTGATTTTGTAGATAGATAGCTAAATGTGTGTTTGATTAATGATTGATTTAGTAGATGGATAGTTGAATGTGTGTTTGATTAATGATTGATTGATTTGGTAGATGGATGGTTGAATGTATGTTTGATTAATGATTGATTGATTTGGTAGATGGATGGTTAAATTTTTGTTTGATTAATGAATGATTGATTGATTTGGTAGATGGATGGTTGACCAAACTGCATATAAGATTGTTTACAGCAGAATGTCTGGGAGGAAAGTGAGAGGAAGACCAAGAAAGAGACGGTTGATTGTTGTTGTTGAAACCTTAAAAAAGATGAACACATCCACCATCCAAGTCGCCCACAAGTGCAAGACAAATACAGAAAACCTTGACATTGGGCTACAACCTGGTAACCGTGAAACAACAGAAGAGTTACTGAAGAATCCAGTTGTTTTGCTGGGTAGTAATTTGTCATGACTTTATTTGCCTCTTGTTGACAGACAAAAGGATTCTTGTCGGATCTCCAAAGAAAACTGCAAGTCCATGGTTATTCCACTGACAGTGGACATAATGGTCATTTGATGTCCAGACACCAAGTAAGCTGTTGTTATTGTGTCCTCCTGTCTCTTCTACCTAGAGGCTTAACCCCCAGTTCTGACCACAAGCAGCTTCTGGTCTGGTAAAGCCAGCCAGTATTACTTTATCATGTTGATTGAACCACTCGGGGAGCACACATTTGTGAAGGCATAGCTGGCCACGCCAGATTTTAAATGGCCTAGCAGTAGAAACAGAAGGTAGTAGTGGACTCCTGTGGAGTCGTCTACATTGCATCATACTTCATTTATGAACAGACAATGAACCCAAGGTCATAGAAACAATATTAACAATAAACAATCAGACATATATTGATTAGCACCCATAAAAAGATGTAGAAAGACGGAAGGACACTAGACGACATAACAGTTAAAAGCTTAAGTTACTATACTAGGAATTGAATCTGGCAACTTCAAATGACAGCAGCGCTTTGCTGCAAGAGCAAGCTTACTTTGAGACATTACCAACTAGATATCTTGGTACTTTTGTCCTCTGCAGTGAAGTGTTATTGTCATTTGAAGGTGAAAGGTTCCATTCCTAGCGTGGTATCTGTAGTTTAAGATTATGATGTTATCTAGTGTGTCCTCCTGTCTTTCTACTTCTTTTAGTGGGTGCCAATCAATTTATACTGTTTGCTTATTTATCTGTTTATTTCATCAGAAAAGTGAGTCACCTTAATCTATGCTGGCTAATGTTTTTGTATTTATTTTATTGTGCTAGACTTAGTTGGACTGAAGGTAAACAAAGCATTACAGTTTCAAATTGATTTTACGCACCTTTTTTTTTTTTTTTTTACGCCTAGTGGGAGTGTGTTCATTTTGATGATTACTGCTTACGCTAGTTTCAGTAAACACCTAATCAGTGTGTTGTAAATAACTTTAAGGCACTATCCTTATCAATGTACCAGACAGTAAATTGTGCAGTGTAGCGTTTGTGTCCGCATGATTTAAATTTACAGCGTGAAAACATTGTTTTGAATCAAGTTTAAAGTCATTTTGACACATCACCATCATCATCAAATGTCTTGTCGACTGACATGAGCTGTCATACTTTTATACCTCATTATTAGACTTTACCATACCAGTTTTTCTTTTTTTCAAGGATTACCACGAGGATTTCCCTCCGGAAATTGTTGATAAAATCTTCGCTCCCATGAGCCAGGAGACACTGGCGACTGGCAGACAGGCGACCCTAGTAGATATGTGGAAGCAGCAACCTTCTGCCAATCAACAAAATTTAGCCACCTGTGGTGGTTTACTTCAGCCAAGCTACGAGTCTGGCAAGGGTCTTCAGTCCAGCGATCGTGGTGCTGTGTGCTCATCAGCTATAGTCACAGCTAGTACAGCTGTGACTAACTCTATTCTAAACACCAAACAGACCATCTGTGATGAACAGCCTGTACTCAACAGAGGTGGAGATATATCTAGTGAATCAGTTCAAGGAGATATTCGGTGGGAAAAGAATCCATCATTGAAGAGAAAGCATGAAGATGAAGCGTTGGACACCATGAGTAAACGCAAGTCTATTTTGAGAACCAAAATGTCCAAGCTCCTTGCTTATGAACGCCCTTCCAAGCTGGCCCCACTTCCTTGTGGTAACTCCCCGGCCAGTAAGAAAGAGTACAAATCTCCGATAGCCAAGAAACTCTGACATCAAACGATCTGAGCTCAGTCATGTTTGGATAAACCCACAAGTTTGGTGGTAAAAGGTCTCCTCGAATTAGGCTGAGCTCCGTTTCAACTAAAGATGTGATTAAGTTGAATATATATTTTGTCAACAACATTTTCATGCAAAGTGATTACGAGAGTTGTACATAAAACACACAAATGCAATCTATTTTTGTGTAATTTTTGTACTTTATGTAAAAAAAAAAATACATATTATTTACTCTATTGCTTCAGTTGCGTGAACCTTTTGATCCTACCAATGTAATCTTTCTTTATTTACTATTTTTGTTTCTTTTTAAAAAAATTTTTTGTGGTTGTAAGTGCAGATGGTCGTAATTGCAGATGGTCATTAAGTTGAAGAGAGAGTGTACTTGCAAAGCACACGCTCACCTCAGATGTTGCACGGATGTGCAGAGTTTGCTGTGGCTAGTCAGTCTGTGTCACAGATCAGCTCACCTGTAGCAGTAGGTGCTCTATCAGCTCACCTGTAGCAGTAGGTGCTCTATCAGCTCACCTGTAGCAGTAGGTGCTCTATCAGCTCACCTGTAGCAGTAGGTGCTCTATCAGCTCACCTGTAGCAGTAGGTGCTCTATCAGCTCACCTGTAGCAGTAGGTGCTCTATCAGCTCACCTGTAGCAGTAGGTGCTCTATCAGCTCACCTGTAGCAGTAGGTGCTCTATCAGCTCACTTGTAGCAGTAGGTGCTCTAACAGCTCACCTGTAGCAGTTGGTGCTCTATCAGCTCACCTGTAGCAGTAGGTGCTCTATCAGCTTACCTGTAGCAGTAGGTGCTCTATCAGCTCACCTGTAGCAGTAGGTGCTCTATCAGCTCACCTGTAGCAGTAGGTGCTCTATCAGCTCACCTGTAGCAGTAGGTGCTCTAACAGCTCACCTGTAGCAGTTGGTGCTCTATCAGCTCACCTGTAGCAGTTGGTGCTCTATCAGCTTACCTGTAGCAGTAGGTGCTCTATCAGCTCACCTGTAGCAGTAGGTGCTCTACTGATTGCTCATGCTGGAAGTCCTGCCTCCAGTTCCGCTCATGCAATGGATCGTTTCTGATTAGATGTTTGTTATTCTCAGGTAGCTGATGTGGACTGGCTGGGGGCAAAATTAAACATCCTAACCTGCACAGTCCATGGTTGCAGCACTAGCCATGCGGCCCTAAATCCCCTGGCTCACCACCACCCAATCTATACCACCCTAAAAAGTGGTAAAAAGGATAGTAGTGATACATTTTCTAGGGGGGGTGGGGGTGTTGGAGATGTGGACTGGTGCATAGTAAAGCAGAATACTGTACAAAGGGCAATCAGCTAAGGTTATTCAGGGGCCAAAGTTGTGAAAACAAGGATCATCACAGGCCGGAGCCCCAGCTTAGAAAGATCATTAATACAGTACAATAGTGATAAAGCATACACAGTAAAAATCTTTGCCCCCGAGGTAGTCGTAAGAGGACTTTTCTCCACTTTCACATACAGTGTGCTAAAGCACCTGGGCTTGCGGTGAGAAGAGCGTAAACAGTCACTAAAACAACTGGGCGAAGTGGCGGAAAGGGCTTTAAGCTGGCTTTGGACGCAACAGAATGTTGTGGTAGATGGGCCTTGGTAGACTGGTTACACTAGCGGAAAAGTGCTTTTTATCCCCAAAAGCCAAATTGTCCGATAAATGTCTGCCAGTGTCTCTCTCCCAGAAGCCAAAGTCTAACACCTGTCTAATTAACCAGCTGTAAGTTCGTCACTCTGGTCGTGAAGGTAGGTGGCTAATTTGCTACCACAGTGAGAATAAATAACAAAAAAAAAAATCGCACAATTCCTGTTGCAAAATCACCATTTTGTCTTGCCACTGTCTGAATGACTGATAAAGTGCAGCAGGGGAAGATCGTGGCCTGGCTTCATGAACCAGGTCGGCCCAATACTGTATAGGAAGTAAGGGCCGAAACAGTTTTCTACGAGGGATCTTTCTGCTGATCGGTTGACCCCTGCTGTGCATACTCCCCTAGGTTCTTTTTATTATTATTCATGTAGCAATGATCCATGGGTCACATGCCAAACTTTGGGCCAAATATAGGCTGTGGGCCGCAAGTTGAATAGCACTGCTGTACAAGGTACTAGTCCTGTGGAAAGTCAGCTATATAGTGCCGGGATAATGGCATCTGTCTCTCCTGGCTTGTGCCAATCTGGTTCGTTTCATGGCATGGACTGACGACTTCCACAAGCTGGCAGTGTGTAAACATGTCAGTGAGGAACAGATCATTGAAGGATGGGCCTGTGATTGAGTTAGTGATTGCTGATCATGAAGAACGAGTCAGTGAGGGATGGGTCAGTGATTGACTGATCAGTGAGGGGCAGCTCTGTGATTTATTGGATCAGTTATGGATGAATAAGTCAGTCAGGGATGGGTCATTTAAATGCCATTGGTTCTGTGTGTGGCCTATTATATGTAGAATTTAGGAGGCCTGGGTATAAATATATTAACTGTATTTATCTAAAGCCTTTAGAGGGGTTTCCATGTAAATCCAATAGCTTTTTTGAAAACCAGGTTGACTTGAGACTAAATTTTCCCATAAGCCTCTTTGATATAGGCCAAGGCTTTGTTTACCTATATTAGTTCTAGGCTGCCCTTTATTTGATGCTTCACTTTTTTTTTGTTTATTGATTGTGCACTTTGTTTATCTTTCTGTGCTTAAAAACAAAAATGTAAACAGTGTAGTCTAATAAATTTGTAAAGAATTTATTAGTTACCTATTTTAAATAGTTATTTTGTTTTTCCTTGGGTTTTTTTTTTTTCATTAAGCTTATCCCATGGTTTCCTTACATTTTTCTCAATACTGACAGGATTAAAAAGAATGAGTTAAAACATAAACAATGCCTGTTTATGACAAGTTGTCCTTGTGTCTTAGCTTGATTCAAAACGTCTTAGATATTGTGTGTGCTGTTTGATTTCATAGATATGAAATGGGGACATAATCTAAAGTAAAAAGGTAAAGTCGGGAGATGTGAACCAGCATCATTGCACACGGTTATAAACCATAAGTGCTCTGCCACCAGTAGGGACAGCTGATAAGACGCCTGTGTCGTCGTCCGCACGTAACTCCGTAGCTACAGCGACGATCCTCCATTCACACCAGAGTGTCACTCTGGTACCCATTTGCTAGAGGCTGGGTGAACCCAGGGAACCGCTCGGTTTCGAACATCGACCATGGCTGCAGCGAGTCATAGCTGGATTTGAATGTGAGCCTCCTATCGACTGGACTAACACTGGGACAAAGTCTGATCTAATATTTGTCTGCGGAAGACAGGAACATTTTATTTACTGCTAGCATTACCTTGTTATCAGTACAACACATTAATGCACATTCAAACAACTTTCTTTTCACCCTGGTTGTAATAATGCTGGCTGCTTTACATGCTGAATACACTTCAATAAAACTACATGGTCTACATCCCAACTATGTTCCTGAAACTCTGGTACCCAACTGACCCAAGAGCCAACCTTTCCATTACACTGGTCTAGATGTGCGAATACAACAGTTTAACATTACATTCATAACCTGCCTGTTCAGCCTGCTGCAGATATGTACCATGGCAATATTAGAAGAGTTAATCACTGATGTAGAGTTGCAGGCAGAAAGTTTTCAAGGGGCCCCTTAAGTTTCCATACATCTTCTTCTTCTTCTTCTTCTTCAGCGATCTGAACCATGGCGGTTCATTGCTGCAGAAATCACCCGCCTCCACTCAATCTTCCTGGTTAGCCTTCTCTTTCTAGTAGGTGACACCAAGTGTTAGCAGGTCTGTCTGGACATCTCCCATCGTCTTCTTGGTCTGCCTTGTGGTTTACGACCATTCAGCTTCCTTGTGTACAGTTTTTACCTCTCTGTCATTTGACACTCTCTCAATATGCCCATGCCATTTCAATTAGATCTCATAATGCCAGTGATCAGTGGTGATTTAAACAAATTATGAATTTTGTTGTTACTTCTCACTCTCCATTCCCTGCTGTTAACATCTTTGATGGGTCCAAAGATTCGTCATAAGACTCTGTTTTCAAAAATTTGTAACAAGGCTTCATCTCTTTTAGTTGTGCTCCAAGTTTCAGAGCCATATAAAATGACTGGTCTTATCAATGTTTTATATATTTTGATCTTGATGTTGGGAGATAGAGACTTTGACTTTTAAAATGTTGTAGGGCATAGTATACTTTTTTTCAAGAATGTATTCTAGATTGTTTTTCCTCTCTCAGCATGTTGGAGCAGTTAAAGTTTGCACCCAAATACTTATATGTTTCTGTTCGTTTAATTTTCATATTATTGATTTGTATGTGGCCCGAGTTTGTATCCTTTCCCTGTCTTGTTGTTTCCATGCATAGAAAAATAATCATTTTAAAAAAAAAAATATTATTAAAACAATTTTTATGAAAAAATATAATATGCTCTACAAGACCACAACTGTTTTGAAAACACATTTCCATGCATGCCCTTTGTTGCAGAAGAATGCAGATAACTACAGCAGAAGTTATGCTTCTAATGGAATTGTTGATATGTTTAATTTTCCTATACATGGTACATGAGAGCTAATAGACTGAAATTGTTGGGGCATATTGAAAGAATGTCAGATGACAGAGAAGTAAAAACTGTATACACAAGGAAGATGAATGGTCATAGACCATGAGGTAGACCAAGAAGACAATGGAGAGATAATGTTGAGGCAGACCTGCAAACACTTGGTGTCACCAACTGGAAAGAGAAGGCCAACCAGAAAGATGAATGGAGGCGGGTGATATCTGCAGCAATGAACCTCAAGGGCTTAGAATGCTGAAGAAAAAGTATAGAAACTTATGGGACATCTTTGGTTGTTGTTGTTGTTTTTTTTTTAAATTGGCTTAACTTGTTCAGTCGCGCAAGGTACTAGCTTTGTCCGAGGGACTTAAAAATGACAGTACGAAACTCATAGGGTCCGCCTGTGGGTTCCAGGGCAAAAAACAATTATAG